GAAAAGGGAAGTCAAGGTGAGGAGGAAGGAAACGGGGAGGCGAGAAAGTAAAGAATGGCTTGTAAAGAATGAGCCAGAAAAGAACAGAGAAAGACAGGCAGACTGACAGATAAGAAAGAAAAAACAGAAAGAAAGAAAGAAAGAAAGAAAGAAAAAAGAAAGAAAGAAAGAAAAAAGAAAGAAAGAAAGCGGAGAACTACCGAGAACAAAATCAGGCCGCCAATACAGAATACACCAATATAGAAAAATATATACACCAATATAGAAAAACATACACCAATATACACCAATATTCTATACACCAATATAGAAAAATAGAATGCCCAGTGAGCGGCAGTGCGCCTGTGCTTCGCTGTGCCAAGCTTTGAGCGGCTTAGTGCGGATTTTAAGCATTTTTTATTTGTGACATACTTTGGTTACGAAGATTGTGCAGAATGGGTAAAATACATTACTGCAACATAAGTGAAACAATGTTAAAAGTATAACGATGCAGTTTTTAGCATACGACAGGAAAAAAACTGCAAAATACGTCTTTGAAAAGTCAACTTTGAACAAAGGAAGCATAACTATTCAAATAATACATTTACACAAGTAAATTGCTGAAATCAATAAGTGTGCGGGAAAAAAGAAGCATTTGAAAAGGGTAATTCGGGTAAAATAGGGAGTTAGAGCCTTTAGGTGACGTTACCGAGCAGGCCTCGTCCGTATGGGACTTTCTTACCCTGGCAGCCCGAGAGTAAGCTTATCAGCAAGTGCGAAAAAAATTCAAGCCTCACCATTTTCAACGTGATTCACGTGCTGTATTATTATGAACCACACTAGTTAGGTTGGTGAGTCTAAGGTTAGGACTTGCTAGAAATATGCAGTATACGCTGTCCTTGAATTCATTTAGGTTTCTTTGTGTTACAAAATGTGTTACTTTGTGTTACAATTGAAAAAAAAAAAAGAATGGGAATTTTAAGGTCTCGCTTTTTTAGACAATATATCAACACGAACTAACAGATAATAATGTCGAAGAAAGTATTGGGGGTTTGTTATTTGTAGTAACCAGCATATGATCGGGAAGAAATTAAAGTCGATGAAAAAATAACTTGCCGCCGGTATAAGGACCAAACCTGCGACCTTGGAATTATATACGCATCCGATACTCAACTATTTGAGCTACGGCGGTGGTCATATCCCCGTTCATTTCATTTGGCCACCATGGCGTCCAGTGTGAAACCCTTTTTCTGTCGCTAGTGTCAAAGCCACACGTGCCGTACATGCCTTTCACGCTAACAGCCTCAAATGCATTACTGCAGCTGCGAGGAAAACCATCACTCGTCTTCCCTGTGAGTATCCACGCGTCATTGCGCCCAGAAAGAAAAAAAAATCCAAGAGTGTAATTGCCCAATGTTGAAACAGCGGGTCCTATAATACACTGGCCGAAACCGTTCACAGAACAGAAACCTTTAAAAGTGTTGTGTTGAGGACAGCTGGTCTTAAAGACGGGCTTGTCGTATCCTTCTGTCCTTGTTTCCACTGTGTTTGGCTCTCTTACTTTCTTTCTAACATCGTTTTTCTGTTGTTATTCTATTGCCGTCCAACCCTACCTCAGCACAGGTAGCTAGCCTGTCTGAAAACTTACTGACCTCTCTGTCTGCTACGTCTATTTTTTTCTTCATCTACCTTGGTACATTGGCTCTTATCACCATCACATATAAAAGAAAACGAGAGGTCTACTGACACCTGCACTGAAAAGCAAGAAAGCAAGACCAGCCGAGAAACAAAAACAAGGGTGCTGCTACACTCTTCCCGTTAACGGAACCTGACGTTAACGGCTGATGTCCACTGTCATCGCATCGGACCCTAGCAGCAATCACTTTCATTATAATTTGATCATCTTTCGTACGCAAAAACGTGCTCGATGAATCGCGGTTATGTAGAATCGCAGGGTCATTGCCACGCTGCACTAGGCGGAAATTCGCAGTGTGCAACGCGAGAAACAAATCACCGGACACCATAATGGATTTGCGCTAATGGGTGTCTGCGAGGTAACAGTTCATTACTACGCACTCAGTTAGGTCATATATGTCAGTCGGAGAACTACTCAGGGTCAGCAAAAAAGGACGCAGCTTCATTAGCGGGCAGTCATTAAGCGGTTATATAAACAAAGGATGCACACAAGGGACGTAAACACTGGGGCGGGCATCAGAAAAGACCTCACTCACCGTGTTGAAAGAAAAACGGTGAAGCGTGGGAGAATGGCACCACCGGTTTTTCGGAAGCATTCGCCATAACATTGCAACGCAACCGCAGCAGTGCTTTGACTCCCAACAGTGAAATAAAAAGAAAGGTGTGTGACCGGAGTTCGCAGTACCATAACATGCAGCGTACAGCGCACAGAACTTTGTATTCAATTCTGCGGTACTTTCTCCTCAAAGGTGTATGTGCAGAAGCCTGCACTAATGGGCACGCACTCTAGACTGACGTGATGAACAGGAAGGCCAAAGTCCCCATCTTCGAAAACAATCACGAGTGCTAAACGAGACTATTTGTTTACACGCAAGGGTGATCAGCCTGTGATTCAATTGTCTCGACCAGGCTTCTACCAACTTTTATGGGCGAAACATTGTTTGCTCGGGCGCGTGATAACCACTAGTTATTGAGGCGAGCGCGACCGCTTTTGGCGTGCTCCCTTTCTCATCACCGTAATCTCAGTGAGTGTACATCTCTACGCAGCTACTCACCATGAACACCTTGAAAGGGAAGGCAGCGGCACGAAGAGCTCGCAACGCGGCTCCAATGCAGGCCAGCCGCCAAGACCCAGCGGTGAGAACTCGCAAGCCTGAACAAGAGGGCAGTGTCGGCAGCAATCGCAAACCAGAACAAGCATCGATGCGGAAGGGTCGGCAGCAGTGAGGGTTCGCTCAGCCGAAGTATTGTGGGCTCGTCGACAAGTGGATCCCCCAGTAAGGGCCCGCAAAACAGAGGCAGCACGCAAAAGGATCTCGAATCGGAGCCGGCGCGGGAAGAAGCGGTCACAGCTGTAAGGTATGCGACCACTTGTGGTTTGACAACAACCTCACCACCATCGTCTTTATCCGCAACCAGTCCTCTACTTGCCCCATCGCCATGCTCCAACTAGTTTCCTGTCGCTGTCACCTCATCGGTACCCCCGACCAACTACAGTGAGCACCGCGTTTGCTCCACGCGCAAAGCCTCTTTGGGGACGAAAAAGGTTCCGACCATGAGTTTAACACACGGTTACCACTACCCTCACAGGCCAGACCACGTGTCTGTGTTCAACACAGTCGAAGAAAACTTGATAACTTCATGTCTACCCTTCATTAGCATCAGACATTTGACTAATGGTTGCGGCCAGTACTACATTAAGAGCCAAGTAGTCAAAGTACCGCTCAACGTGCCCAACATCGTGCACTGCCCACCTCGAAACGTGCCCGACGACGTCGCCTCCAACGTACACCTTAACGGCTTGTTAGCATTGCAGTTTCGCCCCACTCATCAACATTCACTTCTTGGAGATGGCAGGATCTTTTTGAGGGGCTAAGCTCCTAAAGCCACGAGTCAGTCCCTCTTGGCTCATACGCGACCGCCTAGTTCGATGACTCAGCAGGCAGGCATGCAGGCAGGCAGGCAGGTGACTCACGATTTACGGGTGAAACCCTCCGAAGCTTTCACCCACTTATCATCATCATTCACTCCGTGGATACGCTGGGATTTTTTTTTTTTTTTTTACATACGAAGCATCTCATGCCGGCGGCTGTGTCCATCACTCCCTCCCTCCCGTGGCATCGACACCGCCACGGCACACACACGTTCCCTCCCCTGTCTCTGTGCTCTCCTACGCTGCCAACTCTCTCTCCCAAGTCAGTGGCAAAGGCAACGAGACGCATCCTTTGTACACACGATCCCTTCGCAGCCGTTGATCGTCGGTCTTGCAGCGTTCCACGTTTCCGTGGTACAAAGCGCGTATCCTCTGGTTAGCGCGGGATCACGTTCGATGTCTCAGGCGTGCGCATTGAGGGAACGGCTGTTTAGCAGTCATGGTCACCAGCAGCGTTCACGGCAGCGGTCACCGGCATCGAACGATGGTCACCGGCAGCGTTAGTCAGGTTTATGTTCTGAATGTTCATGCACTCAATTAAGGTGACGTAGACGAGCTTCTGTGTGTACCGTTCACCATTTCTCCGCTGCTCCGCATCCGCACATGCTTCCCTTCAGCGGGAGATGGCGTAATTCTTTAGTTGTATCCAACTATAGCAGAAAAAGAATTTGAGAAAATAAATCCGCAAGACTACAACTACTGCACTATAACTTTTTTCTCACTTTCTAGTATTTATTGCCCCCTCCCCGCTTCCCTCTCTCCTCCAAATTTTTGCTTCGCCACACACAATCGATCAACTAAGTCGTTTTTTTTTTTTTCATCCAACATCGAAGCAACATAATAGAATGAGAGCTTGAGCACACGTAACGTTTGTTACTGGCTCCGTTTGCCTCTTTCACAGTGCCGGTAAACCCAGCCGCATCCGGATTCCTCTCCCTTTGCTTCACTTTCCGCTGTCTGCCTCCTTGTTTTTCTTGAAGTCCTATTGAACTTTTTGTACATGTTGTGCCACATTAATTTCTTTATATCAATGCCTGCGCCTGTCGGTTAATGGTTATGTGCTGACCCGAAATACGCGGGATCAAATCCCAGGTGCAGAGGTCACATTTTCATGGAGACGAAATACTATAGGCGCGTGTTTGCAGGTTTATCTGCAATTTAAAAAGACCCTGAGAACCCAGTGGTCGTTCCAGTCTTCTTCGACAATGTAGTACCTCATGAGCATTCCACTGCTTTGTGATATAAAGGCCAAACTGCCCAAACTATTATTATTATTATTATTATTATTATTATTATTATTATTATTATTATTATTATTATTATTATTATTATTATTATTATTATTATTCGCGCTGATCACTCATTGACTCGCTTTTGTCGTGGCCTGACGCAGTCGTGGTCCTGCTGACTGGCGAGAAGGAGGTTCGCACGATGCTGGAGCATGCGCAGGATTTGGGAATGACGTCATCCGGCGAGTATGCCTTCCTCTACCCGGAGCTGTTCCAGGGAGAGGCTGCCGGGAACATATCGTGGTCCAAGGATGTTGGTGAGCACATGGCATATTTCCTAAACTTGCTCCACCAGCCTGCAATACAAGTAAATAATTTGAAAATTGAGACATCATAGCTAGGAGGCAGAATTGTGGAATAATAAATCGAAGGCGTATCATTTATACGTCGTAGTGCGTGAACTGTGAATAAATTTAGTGCAACATTGGTTTGAAGCGTTCTTGAAGACATTGCGCGCAGTGGGAACAAGTCGCAATCTCCCCAGACTGCTTGTATGGATGAGGCGGGTCCAACGCCGATTGCAACGGTCAAATGGGTAAAAACAAGGTGGAATCATTGTGAGAAGTGAAAGAAATAGAGGCGCTGCAATATAGAATTGCTCTCACTCTCATCTCTGCATTCAGTTTAAGGTTATGTTAAAGTGTAAGGTTCCTTGTTGAAGTTTACCTTGTTAAACCTTGACAAACCTTGTTAAACCTTGTTGAAGTTTACGGTTCTTGAGTTGAATTTACCTCTGCTGATGAGTTTTTTTTTTCTTCTCGGTGTGTCATTCAAGCTCTTGCGCAATTCAGTAAATTACGCGGACTGGCACTCTCGCACGCTAGAAGTCAAATGAAGTTCCAGATTGTTTTAAACGGGGAACCTTATTGTATACTAGTAGCAGCAGTTCAGGTGAGCCCAACTGCACCAGGTAACTACGTAGAGGAAGAAACAGGTACGAGGGCATTCAGGCACTATCACGCATCACAGATACAAAAACAAGAAAAGAGGACACAGAAACTGACTACGTTTGCACAGAATCACATATGAGTGAGAATAAGTGGTACATGTGCCCTAAAACATGCCAGTCACTTTTAAAACAACAGTAGGGAAAGTTCAATATTCCCTTTCTTCACCCCAACAAATCGTGTAAGCCACCTTGTGAGGAAGACCTCTTTTACCTTGCGGGTTTATCTGAGTGGTAAGGTACCAGACCATGATGTGTGCTTAGAAAAAATAGATGACGATTTAGGGCACTGTGTAGCTTACGATGGAAAAGCACTAAACACTTCCTAATACATCTTTTGATCAAACATGACCTTCTTGTGCTCAGAACGAGCTTTCAGTCTCAGAATGCCTCGGGAAACGACGACCTTAAAATTTTAGTGTGTTTAGAAAAAGTTATTACCGATTTAGAATACTTGGTACTTTAGTAGGGGATAGTAAAAAGCCACCCCGTGAGGCTCACATTTCACAAGGACCTGTCAAAAATTATTTGAGCAGCGGCACACTGTCGCTGACGACGGTCATAACGGACCAGCGGCTGCAGGTACTGCGTGTACGGAGCTTTTCGCGTGCCTCAGAAAATTGTAACAATAACATGAAGACAAGTAACTGCAAGCGTCATCTTTGTAATCTAATTGATTGCACATAAAGGAGGCGCATGTTGGCGAGCCCAACGTAACATGGTAATCAGTCCCACTAAAGCATGTTACAGCTAACGTTTGGGTGTTAACGCGAGATACCTAACTAGCATTAGTTCTTTAAACAAGAACATGGGCAAAAAAAATAAACTATCACTTTTACTTGCGTGGTATAGTAGTTTCCAGGTGTCTTCCATTATTAGATACAAAGCAGCTTTCACTAAAGACTGTGTCCGTCTCTTGGCGACTTTCCGCTCTCCCATTGCGCATGCAGGTGGGGCGGAGGAGGTGGCAGAGCACTGCCTCTGCTTCATTTTTTCTCTCACGTTTCTATCTCCGCGGCAGCTGTGCGCTCATATATAATGTTGCACCCGCTCGCTCTATTGCACTCTCATAGCAGCGCTGGGTGTTCACCTTGCGGCACACACACGGAAATTCACACAGATAGGAGGAGGAGGGAGGTAACATAAGCGGTACACAACATATACAACCTCCTCACGCAAATGAAACATACACGGAACATACAAATGGGAAATCAAGCAAACACCAACACTGATTCGCATCCCCACATGGTTCCCTTTAATGGTAGATGGTGCAATATTTTTTTTTTTCATTTCTCGCATCTTGTCTTTCGCAGACGATCCAGAGCGGCGTGTGCGACTTCGAGCGGCGTTCGAGTCACTGATGATCATCAGCCTGAATCAGCCCGTGTCGGACGAGTACATGCGTTTCTCCAACGAGGTTAAGCACCGCTCACGTACACAGTATCAGTTTCCCAATTACATGGAACGAGTGGTAAGTGCCCACAGAGCAAACATAGTGGCTACCTTACATACGAGTGTAGTGATGCCATGTGTAAAAAGTAAAAGTAATTCAATGGTATATTCAAAAATGAATGAATTCCGCCATATCCACGAAGTGAATGATGATGAGTGGGCGAAGCTCCGGAGGTAAACCTGGTAAACCATGAATCCTCTGTACATTTTGCCCACTCGATTTTATTACATCGCTCCCCCTAGCGTACGTCGCCGCACTAAATCGAACGATTGCCTTCAACCAATGACACGCGCCATATGTGACATCATTCCTATTTTATAAGATCTCGCGTCTTTCATCAACTACAAGTACCGCTTTCTAGTTTATAACATCTTGCATCTTTTCATCATCAGCTACAAGTACCCACCATCTAGTAAACACTACAAGAACTAAACGAGAGGTGGCTACATACAGGAGACGGTACCGCCATCTAGTGAACACTGCAAGAAGTAACTAGAGGTGGCTACATACAGGGGACGGTACCGCCATCTAGTGAACACTGCAAGAACTAAACTAGAGGTGGCTACATACAGGCTACAGGGGACGCACAGCCCACGCCCTAAGAAGCTTCGCCCCTAAAATGAATGATGTTTCGTTATTTAGAGCGCCCGTAACAAAATCACGACATTTTAACGTACACCTTGTGAATCTTTAGTTTGTGGCATTTTAACGGTTTGTGTTTCCTAACTGATGGTGCAATCCCTATATACTATTTTACGCAAGACAAGTGGGCGCAGCCACCTGGGGCTGTTAAACAAACTTTTTGTTTTTGTAACTTGTGAGGTGAATTGGTAAAGTCAGGAGACACCGAATTCACGAGCCTAACCATTTTAATGTGTATACCATCACCGTAACGCTGTTCGTTTAGTTGTGCAGAATAAAAAATGGCAATGTTAACTTCCCGAAGTGCCAGCACTCAAACCCGTCCGCAGAGTTGTCTATTAAAGCGCATGATCTCAAAAACCACTGGGGGTAGTGAACCTTAAATCAGCCTCATTGCGGTCTCGACTTAAGCACTTCATAGTGCTGTAGCATACCCACGTTCTCTGTTACCCACTCCAAGATATTATGTATGACGCCAATGAGCGGCCTAATTAAGTATCGCGTTTTTCTATGCAACACCCACAATGTTTGCCGATAAGAATGAAAACAGTACTTCGTTAATCCCCTGCCTTGAGACCTAATTTTTTTCCTTTAATGACTCATTCGTTTTCATTGGAACCACAAGCTCATACTAGAGGTGAACTTCTGAACGAAAATAAGTATCAACTGCAGAGCTTGACTCATGCGCAGCCTTAGCGCACTTAACTTCACAACGCTGTTTACTCACTACAGCGATTGTACTACTCAAACTTTCGGTGCCACAAACAAGTGCGAACACAAAGTAATGTCTAAACTCCTTCGATACGTAACTAACCTGTTGCTCATCCAACGGCTTGGTCCATTATATCAACTGCTACCCACTTCGCTATTCCCCGAAGAAGACCGAGTTTGTTGGTGGAAGCTGAACTTTTGCAACTTAACAAGAGCCCAGCAGAAATCACTCAAGGAAGACAAAATCGTCCTTGTGCGATTGTTGCTTTGCACTTGTTGAGATGTAAGCTTCGACATCGCTGCTCGTACAGCAATACACAGGTGCCCTTTCTAAATGAGTTCTGCGGAAACCAGAAAGCTGGCCGAACAGGTGCCTGTACAGGGAGCGAGACAGGCACCTCTACTTTGCCGCATGGCGTACCAGCAGCGGAAGAAAAAAAAAAGCTTCAGTGTGCTTGTCTAGCCAATTGTGTTTACAGAGACACTGGCACAAATATTCAAATATTTAGACAGTTGGCTCTTCCGCAACACTCTAACGCCCGCTACCGCAGTCGTAACCACCGAAATATATTTTTTTTTCAAAAACTTGCACCACGGTTGCTTTTTTCAACTCCTCGAGAAGAAGGTGGGGGCGGAGGGTATATAAACAGAAGCGGCAAGCGCAGACACTCGGAATCACTACTACTTGTGATGTACTGCTCCGAGAAAAAATAAACACCACCCCCATAGATCCTATTTTCCCGGCACTGCTTAAGTTGTATGGCAGAGCATTTGGGAAGGCAATCGCGAGAAGACCGTTTCTAAAAGTGCCCCCAAGAACTTCAAACTCATTTTATTTTTATTTCAGTGCGCCATAAAACGCTGCACGTGATGCTTGCTTTCTTTGGCACCCATATCGAATCCTTAGGCATGCGCGGGTCGAAGAGAAGAAATGCGAAAAATGAAGAAAATATTGGAGGTCCTCCTAAACCTTGACTTAAGTACCTGGTGATGGTACTCCTATTTTATGTTCGTTGTCCTTGGTTATTAAAACATTGTGTTTCGTAGTGCTGCCGAAGCATATCTCAGAGGCTATGTAGAAATAAGCGCGTCGTTGAGACCAGCCAGGTGCCGCAACAACTCCAGCTGTTCATAAGAAGCCGCGTGCTCTTTCAATAAAACTATTAAATCAATTTCCATTAGTATATGCTTACAGGTAATTGGTTGTTATCGCAAGTAAACGTATGATGTGATACTGTGCGTATTTAGCATAATTGTTAACTTGAACCTGAACGATCGGTTTCATACCGGTCTTATTATTATTTTTTTTTTTTTGCATAGACTCTTTTCAAACATCCGCAATCAAGTGCTCGACTGAAAGTGCTCGAAAAATAAACACTTATGTAACTCGCTGTTCGTGCCACTAGAGAGATGGTTGATGAATCTGTCATACGAATCGGTTATGACAGCATGCTGCAACGCACCTTCAAAAAAACAGTTGACCTCTATGTCAGAGCTAAGAGAGAAGCATAAATAATTTTAAGAACACAGACAACGAATTATAGAGTTTAGCAAGATTTTTCAGTATTTAAAGTCAACACCGAAACGAAAGACAACGTGTGCTAAACGGCAAGATCGCAAGAATTGCTCTCTTATCTGTACTTATTTCTCTGCCTCGCTCTGAGTGCACGCGCTCCCGCACCATGGATTAAGATGTTGTAGGTAGCCGGCGGATCTATCCTTGCGAAACTTCCAGGCAATCGCCCCGCCCAGCACTCGCTTTGCTAGTTGTATTCAACTAATGTCCCTCTTTTTGTTTTTTTTAAACTAAACTTGGGCATGCTCTCAGAAAGTTGCGGCGCCACAAACAAGTGCAAACACAAGGCAATGTCTAAACTCCTCTGATACGTAACTAACCTGTTGCTCATACATGGCTTTGTCAATTATATCAGCTGCTACCCACTTCGCTATTCCCCGCAGAAGACCGAGTTCGTAGGTGGTAACTGAACTTATGCAACTTAACAAGAGCCCAGCAGAAATCACTCAAGGAAGAGAAAATCGTTCTTGTGCGATTGTTGTTTTGCACTTGTTGAGATGTAAGCTTCGGCATTCCTGCCGGTACAGCAATACACAGGTGCCTTTTCTAAATGAGTCCTGTGGAAACCAAAAAGGTAGCCGAACAGGTGCCTGTACAGGGAGCGAAACAGGTACCTCTACTTTGCCGCATGGCGTATCGGCAGTGAAAGAAAAACAAAACCTCTGTGCTTGTCTAGCCAATTGTGTTTACAGAGACGCTGGCGCAAATATTTAGACAGTTGGCTTTTCCGAAACACTCTAACGCCCGCTACCGCAGTCGTAAGCACCGAAATGCAACTTTTTTTTTAACTTGCACCACGGTTGCTTTTTTTGACTCCTCGAGAAGAAGGAGGGGGGGGGGGGGGGGTATAAACACAAGCGGCAAGCGCAGACACTCGGAATCACTACTACTTGTGATGTACTGCTCCAAGAAAAAATAAACACCACCCCCATAGATCCTATTCTCCCGGCACTGCTTAAGTTGTAAGGCAGAGCATTTGGGAAGGCAATCGCGAGAAGACCGTTTCCAAAAGTGCCCCCAAGAACTTCAAACTCATTTTATTTTTATTTCAGTGCGCCATAAAACGCTGCACGTGATGCTTGCTTTCTTTGGCACCCGTATCGAATCTTTAGGCATGCGCGGGTCAAAGAGAAAAAATGCGAAAAATGAAGAAAATATTGGAGGTCCTCCTAAACATTGACATAAGTAACTGGTGATGGTACTCCTATTTCATGTTCGTGTGCCTTGGTTATTAAAATATTGTGTTTCGTAGTGCTGCCGAAGCATATCTCAGAGGCCGTGTAGAAATATGCACGTCGTTTAGATCTAATTAGCCAGGTGCCGCAAGAACACCAGCTGCTCATAAGAAGCCGCGTGCTCTTTCAATAAAACCGTTAAATCAATTTTCGTCAGTATACGCTTACAGGTAATTGCTTGTTATCGCAAGGAAACGTATGATGTGATACTGTGGGTATCCAGCATAACTGTTAACTTGAAGCTGGACGATCGGTTTCATACCGGTCTTATTTCTTTTGCATACACTCTTTTCAAACATCCACAATCAAGTGCTCTACTGAAAGTGCTCGAAAGAGTAACACTTGTGTCACTCGCTCTTCGTGCCACTAGAGAGATGATTGATGAATCTGTCATATGAATTGGTTATGACAGCATGCTGCAACGCGCCTTCACAAAAGCAGTTGCCCTCTATGTTGGGGCTAAGAGAGAATAAATAATGTTAAGAACACAGACAACGAAGTATATAATTTAGCAAGATTTTTCAGTATTGATTATCGACACCAGAACGAAAGAGAACGTGCGCAAAACAGCAACATTGCAATAATTGTTTTCTTATCTATACTTATTTCTCTGCCTCGCTTCAAATGCCCGCGTGTCCGAACCATGGATTAAGATGTTGTATGTAGCCGGCGAATCTATCCTTGCGAAACTTCACAAGAATAGAAATCGCAAGGATGGTCGCGTAAGCATACAGAGGGATAGTTAGGCCTGGTAAAGCCAAGTCGAGCACATAGAAAAGCCAAGTTGAGGCTCTCTTTCTATTTTCGGGGTGAAGCACCTTAGTGTGTCGGCTTGTGCGCGGGTCATGTCGTCGTCATGGTCCATGATAAACTGGCACGCCCCACGAAAATTGGATACATCCCACTATACTTCCAACAGGTCTATAACAGGCACATTATGAGTTCAATGTTCATCGTTACTACCAATAATCATTATGTTTGGCTTAGCAGCTGTGTCAGAATCACCCATGAAAATTACCAAGGCGCTAGAGTTTCTTATTTAAAAGCAAAGATAAGAGCGAGGAGCTCTACGATAAACTGGTCTATTTGAAACATCACTCATTGAAACATATCTGGAAAGTGATGGTGCTTTGCTCGCCACCGGTGCACTAGAACGAAAGAAGGCGTCAGTTAGTCCGACAAATAGTCGAAGGCGTCACTGGAGCTGAAACACCTTTCCCTGCAGGCAGTAAGGAACTGAAACCAGGCATATAGGAAAGAATAAGCACTTGAGTGGTTACGACACTCCCCTTCGGGCACTGAATACGCAGGTTCGAATCACGTCTCAGCAATGAATCTAACTTTGTTTTGTTTATTTTTGGTCCTCTTCCTCTCCAGATTCCTCTGTTTTTGTCCACCTTTCCTTCCTCCACCACGTTGCCGGGCGATGCATGGTGACGTCATTGCTTGAGGGAGCTTTGCGAACACCAATGAACCAAGCAATAGCTTAGCTCCCCTACGAAAAGCCTCACACATACACCAAAGCAACTTCATCACAACAACCTGCGTAAATTGAACCGGTTGCTCGTATAAACAAGACATTTCAGGCAGGTTAAGCACTGTATCAAGAAGATGAAGCATATTTTTTTTTCTCCTTTTACAGGTAAACTACTTCACAGCCAGTTTTCACGACGCCGTGGTGATGCTCTGCAAAGCCATTAACGAAACAGTGGCCAGTGGCCTGGATCCTTACGACGGGGACAACCTAGTGAAGAAAATGCGGAACGCGAGCATAAATGGTGAGCCCAATTATGAACCATGAAATCGACGTATGGCCTGATTGGTTGGTGAAGTTTGGACAAATGAAGGTAAGACAATTGGCTTACCGCCATTTGTTCGAACCTCGGCAACCAATCAATACCACCATTACGGGGCGCTTAAAGTAGCCGATGCAGAAAGGCGCTCTCTTTTACCACTAACTCTTCGCTACGCCGACCAATTGCTACTTAACTAAGGCTTTCCCGCGAAAATTTTTGAGTAAGAAAAATTGAGTGGCCGGCCTGTGTACACACAAACTGCAAGTACAAGCAGCAGCGCTCACATGCAGCTTGAGGCATATGTAATCTGTTCGAGTGATATTAATAAGCGAATTGCTAGAGCGGCCACCTTTCTACGCTTTGAGTTGAAATCTTTTCCAACGCTCAATGCTTATGCATTAACTTCCAGAAGAAAAGTTGGAGCGCAAATAGTTGGTGTCCAAGGAATTCGAAAGCAATCAAAACATTCCTCAACTGAAGTAATGATTGATTTGTGGGGTTTAACGTCCTAAAACCACCATATGATTATGAGAGACGCCGTAGTGGAGGGCTCCGGAAATTTTGACCACCTGGGGTTCTTTAACGTGCACCCAAATCTGAGTACACGGGCCTACAACATTTCCGCCTCCATCGGAAATGCAGCCGCCACAGTCGGGATTTGATCCCGCGACCTGCGGGTCAGCCGCCGAGTACCTTAGCCACTAGGCCACCATGGCGGGGCTCAACTGAAGTAAAGCCTAAAGCAAGTTGAACAACCGCCACGTGTCGACGGTTGCGGATTAAAACACTAAATGCAGCTAATCAGGGTCGGCAATGATAGGCACAACCACTAAATTAGTTATTTTTGCACGTTGTATTGCAGCCTTTGTTGAATACAAAGCTTTGGTTGCTACGTCTATAGCTGCAACATGAGAGCGTTAGTTCATAAATTTAATTCACCACAATAGACTTGGTCACCCGAACATGGTCGAAGCGCTTTAGAACAATCAATTTTGAAAACGTGCGATCTTACAGTTATTACAAAAAAAATACACCGCGTCTCTACAAACATGACCTCACCTCCATATTCTCAAACAAGTCTCGACACCAATTTCATCCTTCACCTCACGGAGTTGAGCAGAGCGCCGCTGCTCAACTGCAAATGACGCTGCGATTCTCAAGAATCGGTGTAGAGTATCGCAGATATATAGTTGCTTGTTCTGCTTAGAGGTTCCAATGCCATCGTTTTTCTCAAATGAAAGTGTAGTGTTGAGTAAAGGGACATTCTCCTGGGCTAGTCATTCAAGGCCGACGTATCGTAACAGCGGACGAAGTCAAATATGTGGAAGGAAATGTACAATATGAAGAATAAGAACGAGGACGAAACAAATTAATCGTGTTTGTTGGTTCGCGCGTACTTAACTTCACCAAGGTAATCTCGACATTGAAAGACGACTTTTCACGAAGTGCTCAATGTCCCCTGTATTTACTTGTGCGTGGTTCACTGTTTTCTTGGTTTTGTAGCACGCTCCAGCATTTCTTTCTCTCGGTGCGATAACGTATAATATAATAAACTGCTCGCATAACGACAACATCAAAAGAACAAATGATAAGGAGCCCTTGGTTTGATACTAAAAACAAGATTAGCCAATCCGCTGGACGGAAGACCATCGCAAGGTATGGTAGGGTTTGTCGCTGTGCTTAACAGATCTCAAAACGCTGACGCAAGTATCATTTCAGCCAGCCACACCACCACAGTACAGGGCATCAGAAAAAATAGGAAAACAATCAGCATTTTACAAAATAGATTAGACAAGAGTTTGAAAATAATATGCAGATATACCTTAAAAACATATATTCCTTTTATATAATATTGCCACGACGTCGAAACAGAGGTCTTGCCGCAGAAACTTAGACACCAGAAGCAGGTAGGTTCTTTTAATAGAACGCGCAAGAGAGTTCTTCTTTTTCATCCATTTCATTGTACTTCATCGCACATGCACAACTGTCATTGTCTTTCTTCTTGACAAGCACGTGACATTTGCCTCCCTCCGAAAGAGGCATCGTCCCGATGCGCAACTTAGGCGCTCTACCATGCGTATGAAGTGGTCGCGTCAACTGGATAAATACGGTTTCTTACGCACGACGTGTACGACTTCAGGTAAATGATTTTGACGCTTAGAACTACAGTCAGTGTCGGGAACAACTTCATGGTTCACGTCGTTCAAGCGTCGCGTGACGCTGTATGGGCCAAAGTATCGTCTTAGCAGTTTTTCCGACAGTCCACGTCGACGTATCAGAATCCAGACCCAGACCTTGTCGCCTGGTGTGTAGCTAATAAACTTGTGTCGGGGGTCGTACCGTTGTGCATCTTGATGCTGTTGACGACAGATGCGCACATGTGCGAGCTGTCTGGCTTCCTCGGCGCGCTGAGTGAACTCTTCGGCGTCCACATCGATGTCGTCACACTCATGCGGCAACATGGCGTCCAACGTTGTCGTGACTTCGCGACCATAGATCAGACTGAACGGCGTCATTCCAGTGGTTTCTTGTCGAGCGGTATTATAGGCAAAGGTCACGTACGGCAATATCTGATCCCAGTTTTTATGTTCCGGGGCCAACGTACATGCTGATCATGTCTGTGAGGGTCCTATTGAGGCGCTCCATCAGTCCGTTTGTCTGCGGATGGTAAGCAGTTGTTCTCCGATGAGCTGCACCGCTGAGTCTGAGAACCGACTCCAAAAGTTCTGCGGCGAAGGCAAGTCCTCTGTCTGTGATCACTGCTGTCGGAGCACCATGCCGAAGGACGATGTTTTCGATGAAGAACTGAGCGGCCTCTGCTGCTGTGCCGCGCTGCATAGCTTTAGTTTCCGCATAACGTAGAGGTAATCGGTGGCCACGATTATCCATCTGTTCGCTGTTGTGGAAGTTGGAAAGGGGCCCAGGAAATCCATTCCAATCTGGGTGAGCGGCTTCGCTGGTGCTTCGACTGGATGTAAAAGACCGGAGGCACGTGCTTTGCGTCTTTGGCAGTCGGTGCAAGTTCGCACGTGATGGTTAACATCAGCGGGTAACTTTGGCCAGTAGTACTTGCATCGTAGTCGGCACAATGTTCGGGTGTAGCCTAGATGACCAGAAGTTGCTTCATCATGGCACGCTTCCATAATTTCTTTTCGAAGAGAGGCAGGCACGACGAGCAAGTGCGGGTTGCCGGTCGGTGAGAAGTTTTTCTTATAGAGAACATCGTTTCGCAAGCAAAAAAGATGGCAGTCCTCTGGCAAATAACCGCGGCACGTCCTTACGTCGTCCTTCTAAACATTCAATGAGTGGTAACAGCTCGGGGTCACTGCGCTGCTCCCGTGCAATAGTGGCCGTGTTGACAACTCCCAAGAATTCCGCGTCGATGTTTTCGTCATCACGAGTGACAGTCTCCACTGGCGACCATGAGAGACAGTCGGCGTCGGTGTGCCGCTTCCCAGATTTATAGACGATGGTCATGTCGAACTCTTGAAGTCTTAGGCTCCAGCGCGCCAAACGGCCAGATGGATCTTTAAGGTTGGTGAGCCAGCACAAAGAGGGATGGTCGCTAACAACCTTGAAAGAGCGGCCGTACAAATATGGACGAAATTTGATGACCGCCCACACCACGGCGAGACACTCCTCGGTAGTCGAGTGGTTCTCCTCCGTGCGAGAGAGGGTTCTGCTGGCGTAGGCTATTACTCTTTCACAGCCGTCTTGCCACTGCACCAGAACGGCACCCAGACCTACATTGCTGGCGTCAGTGTGAAGTGCTGTAGGCGCTTCTTGGTCGAAGTGCGCGAGGACTGGAGGTGTTTGCAGGCGTTGTCGTAGTTCATTGAACGCCATTTGCTGTTGTTCACCCCAAAAGAAGGGGACGTCCTCACGTGTGAGTCGTCTCAATGGCGCCGCAATAGACGAAAAGTCCTCGACAAATCGCCGGTAATAGGCACACAAGCCTAAAAAGCGTCTCACGGCCTTTTTGTCGCGTGGTGCAGGAAATCGCACTACGGCGTCTATTTTGGCCGGGTCAGGTCGAACACCCTCGTGACTGACGACGTCGCCTAGGAAGCTGAGTTGGTTAAAACCAAAATGACATTTTCCGGTTTTAAAGTACGGCCGGCCGAACGTATGGCTTGGAGGACGGTGAATAAACGGCTGAGATGTTCCTCGAATGTTGCTGAGAATACAATAACATCGTCAGATAGACCAAGCATGTTTGCCGCTTCAGGCCTGATATAACGGTGTCCATGAGACGCTGAAAAGTGGCTGGCGCCGAGCACAACCCAAAAGGAAGCACCTTAAATTCGTATAGGCCGTCGGGTGTCACGAAGGCCGTTTTTTCACGATCTCTCTCGTCGACTTCTATCTACCAGTAGCCGCTTCGGAGGTCCATTGAAGAGAAATAGCGAGCATGACACAGCCGATCGAGTGAATCGTCTATGCGGGGCAGTGGATAGACGTCTTCCTTCGTGACTTGGTTCAACTTGCGATAATAAATACGGAAGCGCAAGCTGCCGTCTTTTTTCTTGACCAAAACCACGGGGGACGCCCAAGGACTTTTCGAAGGTTGTATGACGTCATCCGCGAGCATCTTGTGTACTTGCTTCTGAATCTCCTCGCGCTCTTTCGGAGACAAATGGTAGGGGTTTTGCCGAATTGGTCGCGTGTTGTCTTCAGTAATGATGCCGTGCTTGGTCAATGGTGTTTGCTGTACCTTTGACGTACGCGAAAAGCAGTCTTCGAATTGGTGTATAAGTTCAAGCAGGCGCTTCCTATCAGAGGGCGGTAGCGTAGAGCAGATGTCCACCGGCAAAGTTGTCGAGGTGGGGACAGCCGCGTCATCTGGTTGCAAGGTAAAACAATCCCCGGCTTGGTCTACATCGTCGTAGTAGGCAATTGTGGTACCCTTCTGGATTTGACGGCGCTCGTTGCTGAAGTTTGTGAGGAGCGCTTCTGTCTGTCCACCAGTAAGCGCCAGGACGCCCCTCGCGATGGAAATGCCTTGCGTGAACAAAAGAGTGACTATGTGCACCGCTATCACATCTTTATAGCAAGGACACCCACTGGACACCGACAGAAGGCAGCAGGATCTAGGTGGGAGTGTACATCGTCGGCTATTCGCAAACGGCCGCGTGGTTCTTCACTGCTGTTGTCGGCATAAGGAAGTGCGCAAAACGTCATCATACGTTGAGGGATGTTGATAACAGCGCCATAATCTTGAAGAAAATCCATGCCCAAAATTAACTCTTTACAGCAGTCTGGCAACAGGACGAAAGTGGCCACGAAGCTAGAATCCCCGATGCGAAGTCTAGTGGTGCATTTACCCGTGGGTGTCATCAGCTGACCACCAGCACTCCTTATGTGTGGCCCCGTCCACGTTGTCTTGACCTTTCTAAGGCGGTCGGCGAGCTCTTGTCGCTTGATTGAGAAGTCGGCGCCAGTGTCGACCAGTGCTGTAACGTGATGTCCGTCAATGAGGACGCTCAGATCGGCACGTACAACATCATCAGCATTATTATTCGTCGTCGTATTCATCGTCGTTGTCGTCATACCTTCTTGCGATGATTGGGGGAACTTTTCAGTGTGTCGACGTTTGGCAACCTTGCCCCCCGAGGTCGCATCAGTTAGTTTCCCCGGCGCGGGCTAGGTGAACGGCCTCTGGTGACGTCCGCGTAGCTCTGAGGGAAGTCACGGTGACGCGCAGGTGATGGAGATCGCCAGCGACGCGGTGGGGTTGCTTGAGCAGGCGATAGTTGATCGGCACCGTGAGCACGACAGTCTTCGGAGCGGAAAGAAGCGGGACGAGAAAAGTTCCCGAATCAAGAATCGCCGTGACGGCAATAGCGGGCAATGTGACCGGGTTCTCCGCAGCGGAAGCAAATAGGTCGACGGTCGCCCATGCGCCACAAGTCAGTTCGGCAAACTGGTGGTCGTCTCGTAGAATCCCGTCGCCACCAAGGTACGGCAGCGGGTCGTGGCTGGAAGGATGTCACCACAAATGTCGGTGGAGCGCGACGGACCACATCAGCGTAGCTCGCTGGATGTAACTCAGGACTTGGCGCGGGTGGTGCAATGGCTTGCCTCAACTCCTGGCGGACGATTTCGGAAGCAGATGCGACTGGCGGTTGGGCAGGGGGAACGCAGAGGGCCCGAAGTTCCTCACGCAGCATTTCCCTAATCATTTGTCGCAGGGAACTTTCGCATACGGCAGTGTTCTGAGCTGCAGCACTTACTGCCGTGTGGTTCTGCAGGCGGTCAAATTGTCGGCGTCGTTGTTGCAGTGCGCGCTCGATGACTGTCGCCTTTCTTATGAATTCATCTACTGTTGTAGGTGGATTTTGTACGAAGCCCGCGAACACTTGTTCCTTAACACCCTGCATTAGGTGACGCACCTTCTTCGCCTCGGGCATGTCAGGGTCAGCTCGTCGAAACAGACGGATCATACCCTCTGCGTACATGGGGGCTGTTTCATTGGGTTTTTGCACGCGTGCCTCAATCACTTGCTGTGCGCGATCCCGTCGGTCCGAGTTCAAAAATGTAGCGAGGAGCTTTCGACGGAAGTCTTCCCAAGATTGGAATGTAGCCTCGCGGTTCTGATACCACGTGCGAGCGCTATCTTCCAGTGCGAAATATGCATGGCCAAGTTTTTGCTGTTCGCTACAGTGGTTGGATACAGCGGCCCGTTCGAACTCTTCGAGCCAGTTCTCAACATCCTCGAACTCTTCCCCACAGAAAACTTCAGGAACGCGAGGATGTTCAAGAGTTACCTGCGAGGGAACAGTGGTCTGCGATGGCGGGATAACCGTGGATGTCGTAGGAGCTGCCATGCTGGAAAGAGGCAGAACAGGTGCGGACTCTGGACTTAGGCCTAGTAGGCGCCGACTGAATCGGTGCACTGGAGTCGTGACGAGGGGCTGAGTTTCTGGACTAGGTGAAGGGGTCCGAGAAAAACTGCCATGCATCAGGTTGTAGGCTCCAGCACCTCCACCAGTGTCACGACGTCGAAACAGAGGTCTTGCCGCAGAAAATGAGACACCAGAAGCAAGTAGGTTCTTTTAGTAGAACGCGCAAGAGAGTTCTTTTTTTCATCCATTTAATTGTACTTCATGGCACATACACAACTGTCATTGTCTTTCTTTTTGACAAGCACGTGACAATATTGTATGTACCCTGGTATGCATGGTATGAACATGCGTGCTCAGTAGGAAAGATATGTGGAAGTGTTGGCAACGTTCTGGCTTTCGTAGATAGCTAAGAAAACCAGTCATATCCAGGCTCCAAAAAATCGATTGAGCAGAGTCTGACAGTGCTTCTTTGAGGGCCTTGGCGCCTTGGCGTTAGTGCTGCTAAGCTAAGCCTGAATCTCTGGTAAGATTACAGACCTCTGAATACACGGGCCGCGTCTGTACGGCAACAGCGTGTCCTTTCTGTTGAAACAATCGGACTAAATGCAAGAAAGTAGTAGGTAAGCAACTCAAAATGGCTAGTCCACCGATTTCTTTTTTTCTCTCCACTAGGTGTCTCGGGCAGGGTCGTGATTGACATGAACGGAGATCGAGTGGCCGATTATGCTCTCCTGGACCAAGTTGACCCTTCGACAGGGCATTTTGATGTAAGGCCTTTTTGTTCAATTATGATTCCTGCACGCCTCCTAAACACAACTTCCTTTGCGTTATTTATCGCCTGTAAAGGTTCATAGTACATGGTACTAAAAAATTTACGTTTATTATTGCTCCAATGCATCAGCTATCAGCTATTTATTAGAAAGTTGTTTCTTAAGTATGTGGTCTTAACGCATACTTAAATCTTAAAACGTTTCCTGATGTAGTTCTGTGTACTTTTACCGCTCCTGATTGGGTCCCGTTTCTGTGCCTGCAGTATTCTGTGAAATGAATTGATAAATAAGTGAATCGATCAATACAGAAATAAATATTTTGGAGGTGATTAAAATCTGCCAGATCAGTGCTGTTAGTGTAACACAATACCTATATATACAACTCCAGTAGAGTGTGGCTTCACCATACGCCACTGCCTAACGTGTATTCCTGAATATAAATTTATGAAACCGACAGTCAGTTGCACTAAGCAAAGCACAGCGGATATTATTCATTTTTCCCTAATTGTATTGTAACGACTCTCTCTTATATTCCCTTTTCAAACCTCTTCACCAAGTTCAAGAAAGATTTATTTAAACGAGGGGAGCCTTCCGTCGTAAGTCAAATTGGTAAAGCACCAGCAGCGTAATTCAAATGTTGTGGATTCGGATCCCACCGACGGAAAGGATGATTTTCCGTACGCTTTAATTTCTGCCAACTTAAGAGACAATCATTAAAGTACACTTAAAAAAAACCACATCATCTCCCTTTTGATTTCCTTGTCTTAATTGTCTGTTCGATTGATTAGTTTATATTACGGAAAACAAACGTCTACTTTTGTGTCCTCTCAGTGTCACTTTTTATTCTCTTTTGCGAAGTTTCTGTAAGATGATGCTGCATTGTGATAGTGAAAACCATGCTCATCGCATCCTTGTTACACATAACTTTCTCCCTGCTTGTCAAATGCGAAGTCTTGATATGCGCATCATGAAACATTATTGTGACTCAGCCTTTTGTTTTCTTCCGGGTAGCGCATCACACAATATATTTCGCTATTGCACGGCCTGTGCAGGTCGTACTACAATATTTTGGAGCCAACCAAAGCTACCAGACGGTGAATGCGATTCATTGGCCTGGGAAGGGTCCACCAGTGGATGTCCCATATTGTGGATTCGACGGCAAGGATCCTAAGTGTTTAAAAACTGGTAAGACAGACAGACAGATAATTAACTTTATTTGATCCTGAGGTGCTTTCGCGGGAACCCCTATCGGGGACCCGCGGAAGCCGCTGGCCACGTCCAAGTCGGGGCTGGGACACCATGATGTTCCACCCTTTCTTGAGCCCTCTGGATTGCCTGGATTTGTGCTTGAAGTGGTGGGCTCCGGAGTGCTTCTTCCCAGTCGGCTTCGCTGGATAGAGGGCCATTAGGTAACTCGGGGCATCGCCAAAGCATGTGCGCTAAGGAACAATAAATTTCATTACATTCCGGACAACTTGAGTCAACGTCTGTGGAGATACGACTAAGAAGGCCCCGTGAGGGGAACGAGCCCGTCTGGAGCATTCTAAGTGTAATTGACTGAGACCTATCTAACTTCGGGTGAGGAAGAGGATAGGCTCTTCTACTTAGCCGATAGTGAGATGTGATTTCATTAAACGTAAGAAGTGGATCGTTATGCTGGATTTCATCCTGACCCCATAAGGCCTCCATGCCGCCGCGGCGTGTTAGATCTCACGCATGGTCGTGGGCAAACTCGTTGAGGTTAGGTACGTGCTGATAAACGTCCGCACCCATGTGGGCGGGAAATCAAGAGATTAAGTTAGTGCCAGGGTCTGTTCTTTTTTCTAGAATGGAGGCAGCCTCCCGCGCTATGTTACCCGACTCAAAAGCTTTGATGGCCCCTCATGAGTCTGTTAACACGGTGGTGTGTGAGCGGTCGGTCATGGCCAGGGCTATGGCGACCTGTTCTGCAACTGGGCTCGTAGCTAACCTGACCGAGGCTGAGGAGCGTAATTTCCCGTGGCCTTCAATGACTGCCAGCGCGAATGTGCTAGACTTGCCGTACTGAGCCGCGTCGGCAAAGACAGTCGATTCTCGACTCTCGGCGGCGTTCTGTAATATCGCCCTTGCTCGGGCTTTTCGCCTCCCTACATTGTATTGCGGGTGCATATTCCGAGGGAATGGGCTGACCACAAAGGTTTCCCGGACCTCCCTGAACGGGAAAACTGGTAAGAGCTTCCCATTCTGGCGGTGTGTAACCTTGTACTATTAGAATAACTGTGGCCTAAGAATGTGAATAATTTTTTTCTGATTTCAGAGGACTTCCCGTTTTTCGAAACCGTAATAATTTCTGCATTAGTGTTCCTGATAATCATGCTCATCTGTGCATTTCTCATTTATCGGTAAGTTGATTTTCGAAAAGTTCGTAATCGAAGTGTTTTTCAGATGTGCAGGCAACACTTAAAATCCGTCAGTCATCACTTTTGCATGTGAAGTTACTCTAGCCAGACGTATGTTTAGGATAGACAAAAACGCAATATGTTTAATGGAATGTGTGTAACACGAAAAAATATCTAATATAACCAGGATGTGAACTGGTTGGAGTTCAGATTAACTAATTCATTATTTAAAACCTAAAATGTACTACAACATTTGAGAAGTTATATTGAGAAAAAGAATTGTACGGAAACAGTGAAGTGCGAAAAAAAATCAGAAATAACGCATTTACGTCTCATAATTGCCAAGTAAAGACACATATTGAAATTCTGTAAGCTTCATTGCTATATTTACTTATAGCCAAGTATTTCGATACTTTTTTAAAGGTACCGAACTTAACGTCTCTGCTCACAGAAAGGACGTACATTTATAAGAAGAGACTGTTCATGAAGTTATAGAAACCGAAAGTACAATAATTTGGTAGAGATTAGAAAATCATTTTCATCTATTTTCTCTGAAAATTTTTATGACGCGATAAACAAAAAAAAGGTTGTGAACACTGCTGTTATAGCACTGACTATCTGGTTTATTTTATGTTTGATATTAAAAAAAAACAAATACGTCAGGAACATTGATGGTGCCAGAAAACACGTTTACTTAGCCATGAATAACCTATCTAAAGAAATAATCTACTCTGGCCATGTTCTTCCATGCATTGATCCTGACGCATGCTTATTCCGTATTCCTTCTTGGAGTCACTACGTATGACTGACCAATTTCATTTTTTCTTGCCTTGCAGCAAAATGCAGCTGGAAAGTGCCATCGCCAACATGTCATGGCGAATCAGATGGGAGGAAATAACCTTCACGCGCAACCAGCGGAGCAGTTGGATGATGAGCCGGCTATCCATAACAAGCGCGGTGAGTCCATGGCCAAGCAATAAAGCATGCTTTGCGATGCTCTCAGGTGATCGCTTTTGTTTACATAGCGTCTTTCGTGTTTTTTTATTATAAGTTCACTTTGTAATCCAAAAGGTCTGCACACATAAACGAAGGAAAAGGGACAAAGATATTCACCAAAAATAAAAACAATAGCGTAATTCAGTAAGAACTTGCCTCTTTGACATTGGCGCAAACAAAGGAGATGTTGCGCAGATTCAACATCATCCCTCTCCTCCTCGGAATTTTTTCGCTTTGTATGTGTAATATACAGGTAGATGTGTGAACACACAAATAAAAGTATGTGACCTCAACCTTTCCACCCCAGAAAACAATTTCTGGATTTTCTTATGACATGTAACGTCTGTAGAATTTAAAAAAAATTATAAAATTCAACGACTCGATTTCGCGAGAACAGGGCACAGCCGTGAATTTCCGAGTTGTCATATTCGGAAGATTGATTTGTGGGGTTTAACGTCCTAAAACTACCATTTGATTATGAGAGACGCCGTAGTGGAGGGCTCCTGGAATTTCGACCACCTGGGGTTCTTTAACGTGCACCCAAATCTGAGCACACGGGCCTACAACATTTCCGCCTCCATCGTAAATGCAGCCGCCGCAGCCGGGATTTGAACCCGTGACTTGCGGGTCAGCAGCCGAGTACCTTAGCCACTAGACCACCGCGGCGGGGCCATGTTCACAAGAGCAGAACAGGCTAAATTGTTGTGTTTAACGGTTTGTTAGGCAAACTTACACGCAGCAAAGTAAGCATAACACTCCTATAACAACGACGTCAGTTAGCACAGTGATCGTCGAAACACGATCTGCGAGTAAAACGCATTCGCTTCTCAGACATGAACCATCCCACGTTCCGGGATGGTTGCTGATGTTCGTGTTCACGTTCCACACTGTACTCAAACATGCGCGTCTTTAATGATTTGCCACAGATAAGAGTATTCAGCTGTACAACCGACGATAACACTCCAAAAGGTCCCAATACGTGAAGACGTTTTTTGCGACTGTCACACCAACCAATGTACTGAATAAAAGTAAAAACTTCTTTACAAAACGCAAAGGCTCGACATTTCCAGTGCCACTCAAACCCTTTTTCAGTGGTGACAGGAGGGCACCAGAGAAGTGTGTTTAGGGAGCCTTTTTTTATTCAGGCCGTGGGCTCAGGCTGTAGCCTGGATGTGCCACGATTTCACAAAAAGACCCGTGTGGTAACTGGCCCACAAGTCGATGGCATAGAAGTCGTCAAAAGTGATACAGTGGTCGCTCACTTCGCTGTGTTAACACCGCTACAGTGTTTAGTCACCGGGGACCACAAAAAATGATGTACGCGGTAGGTGTTTAACACTTGAAAAAGCATACATCGAACAGAACGTCTTGATTATGCATCCTTTGATCTTTCACGTGAGAGTGAACTTCATAGCATCAGCAAATAGATGAAGGTCGCGCTGCTTACAACGACCAATACTTGTTTCTTACTTTCTTTTCTTGTCTTTGTCGATCTAAAGATGTCCACTAAGATGGAAAAAGGCTGGGTGCACTGGGCTCCAGATCTGCGAGACGTAGGTATTTCACCTCCAGGCAATGTCAACTAACATCCTTAACATTTACCACGATTGCTCAGGCTGCCTCACCGAGTGGCTCACGCCCCGAATAACCTCTCACGGAATAGCCTTCTCATGACGTAACCTTGGCTTACGCAGTTTAGTTACTGCTTTCAACGTGCTGTGCAACAGACTTGCACGAATGCCTGTAGAGTGATAATAAAGCCGTATACTGCACAAACGCGACGGACTATTAGGTTGTGTGTGCGTGTTCTCTGTTCTTCTGCCTCTCCTTCATCCCTTTCCCCCAATTAGGGCAGCATACTGTTTCTTCTAAGCCGGTTGACATGCCAGCCTTCCACCTCTTTATAGTCTTCCTTGCTTCAACGTGCAATGTCGGGCACCGCTGGCCTTACTGTCATATATGTTCTATATAGCAGTGCAATACGAACGCAGTCAATAAATTTTGGTCTACAGAGCATCATAAATGCTACAACTTAATATTTCGAATTTACTCGACAATGTCCGAGGGAAGCCAGATGATACGCAACCAACAAGCTGTCGTGAACATTTGGACCTTGCTTTGCACATATGTGCCGGCTGCTGCCGGCCGACGTGCCGTCTGTCTGATACTTGCAAGAATTCAGACGTTGTCGGGCTCAAAGGAGGCGCCATAATAAAATCAGTGCATGTGCAAACCTGAACTCCCTGTCCCGCCTCATCTCTCGGAGCCTCGTGTGATCAGTCTGCTTCAAGCACAGCATGAAAACGCATTCATCACAACATGGTCGCGTTTAGTCCCACGCACGTTTTTCTGCCCTCTCCTCTTTTAGGCACCTCCGTTTCTGCCCTTGCATTTTCACAACACTCTCGTCATGCTGTCAGTCTCGGGCTTCTGCAGGAAGTAACAAAACTAACTCGGGGGTCTCTTCCGTTGGCTCTTTGACAAGAGTGTCTGCTCTCCTCTTCCGGTTTCTGTCGCAGAGCGCCTTTATGGAAGCGGCCGCCAAAGCCAACGAGCAGCAGTTCATCCTGACGGGATCTCTCAAGGTGAGTGCAACAGCCCTGCTTGCGTGCCCGCTCACATTTTCGGTCTGCTGCGCGCTGTCTAAAGTAGCGGGAGGTTTGCGTGTCGTGCAACATTTGGACAGCAAAATGGAATGCGAAAGCTAGACGGGAGCTGACATCCAGGAGCGATGGCACACTCGCTGACTAAGGGTTCAGATATTTTCTTTTATTACGTATGCTCTGCGCGGTGCCAAATTCAAGACTTCAGGACGTTGGGGGGGGGGGTGAACTAATCCTACAGTGCAACAGCATAAAGAACTGACGGGGGAAGCAATCAGGTTATTCTTGCGAACGTTTTATTCCTGTTCGCAGTTACCACCGAGTGAGTAAGAGTAGGAGCGAAATGTTTCTGAGAGTAAAACACGATTTATTTTTCATTTTTATTTCCGGTGTTAAGCAACGGAGATCATCGAAAAGGCTTGTACGACTACATTAGAACAGGAAGAAATAAGTGTACATTTAGGGACTCGTTGTCAAGTGATATAACAGAGAATGGTGCCAAGGAAAGTATAGGACATGTAGATACACCTCAACATTAAAATATAGCAAGAAAGGAAGAACAATACAACAAGAATCTTATGAACAATACAAGCTGAGGTCAGTTATCGATACGTATAGCTTGAGTTTATTACAGTTATAAATCTACAGTTTAATAACATTATAACGACTGATATGAATGATGATTGTCAAAAATATGAATATTGATGCACATGGTTCTAAAGTATTCATCTACCTTAAGTAGAGCTGATATATTTTCTACACTTGAATTCAACTCAGGGATGGCTCTTCAGTGAATATTGGCGCGACGAAAACAGAGAGTAGAATATTAGGGACAAACTGCAGCGCTGACTCGCAACTAAACTTTAGTCCAAAAAGAAGTGGAATAAGTAACTTCTGGAAAATTCAAGAAAAGGAACCACCATCGCGTATACTCAACGTGACAAAACAGAACAAACAACAAAAAACGTATCGAAATAAATCACTCGTAGCCCCGAAAATTGCTCCAAGTTTATCCCTCACCTGGCTTTGATAAATAAATAAATAAATAAATAAATAAATAAATAAATAAATAAATAAATAAATAAATAAATAAAAGTGTGAGCTGCACTTCTGGTCCAGCGAAACGGAGATAAAATTGCTTTAAAAGACCTACAATATGTTCAAGTTTTAAGGGTCTTTTTGCGCCTTTCGTAAAAATTCTGTCACCTGTGTACCTTGCACTCTCCGTTGTTCAGACCATGAAATGGCTGAGGGTTTTTTTCTTACAGTCTTGATGAACTTTCACATTGAGATAATATTATCGGCCATTCCACCAATTTCCAGGAGGCAGGAACAATAGTGATTCTGCTTGCAAAAATTGAATTCGTAGCCTTAGAAGTTTCTCGTGATACATCTCATGCAGGGTATTGTGGTGTCCGTCAAAAAGTTACCTCATCAGAAAAGAATTGAACTCACCAGAAGTGTCCTCATCGAACTCAAACAGGTAAGACATTAACACTTTTAATTTTATGTTATTTACAAGATGTCAACACTTCTACGCGGCCACAGCTACTTCTTTTCACAGATAATAAAATTTGTGAATAACGCAGCAGTGAAAAAAAAACTTACATTGAATAGCAACTAGAGAACATTGACCTAAGTTATTCAAGGAATAAACTTGTGTTATAATAATTGCGTTCCTTCACATACCTTTGAATGCATACGCACGCGAGAAACCAGATAGGGTTTGCTGAAAACAATTGCTTGTTGACGTTGAAGTTGACGTTCATTTCCTTCGCTTTTATTTATTTATTTATTTGTTTATTCATTCATTTATTACCATCCGGGCTTACAAGAAGCGTTACAGAGGGGCGGGGCTACATCAATAGTGGATTATAAGGCACGTGAAAAATGGGGAACTCAAAGAAAATAAACCAACAGCAAGAAGGCATGAGCCAAGACCCGCATGTTACGGTACAGTAACAAGTATAAGGTGAATGTGATAAAAAACTGGAAAACACACTGCTAAAAACAATACCAAGAATAAGGGGAAAAACTGAAAACCACACTGCTAAGAAGATATACGAATAAACAATACTAATATAAAGTGAACATAGGCAAGTACTCAAAAGTAAATCGCAGTGAAAAAAATTCAGAGTTGACTTTAGCACACGCACCTTCATATCACCAGCATAAAGGGAAAAAAGATAAGCAGGTAAGGCGTAGGGGCGTACGTTCTAGCAGAGTCCTTTAAGGACTCTGGTTCTAGGTAAGGTTTGTAAGTGCACCGCGAAAAAGATGGTTGTCGGCGATAGTCACCAATAAGGCAGGAAGGCGATTCCAATCAGCGCACGTCTTCGGAAGAAATGAGTTACTGTATGTTGTGCTACGCTGAAATGGATGCGAACTTTATGATGGTGGTCAACACGAGCAGAAGTAAAGTATTTCTATTAAGTATTTTGATTTGTCTTTTTCTAATCATTCATTATTCGGTGAAGTAGCCAGAGGTACATTACATCTGTATTTTCAAGTTACACCCCATTCTGCCCAAAACTACACGAGTTCTCGCCTAATGACCATATTTTATTCTAAAGCTTTTGTATATGTTACTGAAAGCAAGGCTCAGACTCCCGAACCACATACGTGATCAAACTGTCGACGTAATATTGGAAATACAGGGAAGTTAGGCTTTGAAATGCCAAGCATTTCTTAGTGAAATTCAGTGACTTTATACGTATCTATCTATCTATCTATCTATCTATCTATCTATCTATCTATCTATCTATCTATCTATCTATCTATCTATCTATCTATCTATCTATCTATCTATCTATCTATCTATCTATCTATCTATTTATCTATCTGCTTACGTTCGGGTGCTCTCGTGCTCACCCCCTTAACTAGGCGCGAACCAAAATTAGCAAGAAATGGTAAGTAAGATGGTTTGACGAATATGACGCACTGGTCGATACATTAATAATATCACAATCCCCTCGCGTACGTCGTCAAACACTTCCAGCCAGACAGGGGCACATACCTACGGGCGGGTATGTGCCGCTGGAATACGGGTATGTTCCTCAGGTGATTGACACTTAGTATCTACCCAGGAACGATCAGAACACACATGAACAACTTTAACGGACGAGCGTTAAAAAATACGCGACATCGGTGGCATTGACCCGACGAATGCAAAGAATAAATGGCAGAGTCTTAGCTGGAATCGCACCTAAGCATTCTGCGTGGCAAAAAAGCATTTAGCCACAGAGCTACGCCAGTCTCGGAACTACTTTTCAAATAGACGCTAACCTTCGTGAAACGTCAATGGTGGTTGCAGTGCTGCCTACGCAATTTCATAAATATTACATATGTACTCATTTGATACAGCCGTCGTGTAGGGTTAACGTCAATTGTGGTTAGTTGCCATGCGCCTAATTTATTTATGTAGCAGTGTCCAGGGCCAGCATCTTCGCGAGCATCCGCGCTGCATATCAGCTTCTCGCGTTGCTAATACGCATGTTACAGTTGGCATCGTTGCGCAAGTGCAAACAACTGGTTATATAAACATCTGCAACTCTTGATTATATGTCTGTGCGTGCAACATTTGTGCATATATTTAGCGTCATTTTATGATGTGTCGCTCAACAAAAAAATTGCAACACGGTCACCTTCCCTCCGCATGCTTCGCATAACGTCGATTCCCAGGTACGTGGGTTATGCCTATTTTTTTTATTTGTATACAGTGGTCAATATCGTCTTCATGTCCCAGTAGAAACATTATTATGTTATCAATAAGAATCAATCTATCTTACGTGGTGATATTTGCATTATTTGGTGCACTTTCACGAAGAAAGTTATTTCACTGGCATATTAGTAGAACAAAGGTTTTTTTAGGGCGTTCGCCCGACAGCAACCACTGAACTAAACAATAGCTTGGTTACGTTAGCCACAGTCTATAATAAAAGTTAGTAGACCAGCGGGGATATGTTGTGTTACGCTTTCAAAATCACCCGAGCATGAGTCCCCACCCTTGATCACAGCAAACTGAATACGCTCCACTATATCCGCTAAATGATCTTGCAAGTGATTGAAACGCACTGCGAAAGTAACTATAGGCAATGATTCGCGGTGAGGCGCCGACGGTCAGTAAGCTCACTTTTTCCCTCACTCTTCAACACACGTGTATATGAATTTTTTGTGATTTTTCTACCGCAGATGCGAGAAACGCAGCATGAAAATATAGCGAGATTTGTCGGAGCCTGCATAGATGTGCCAAATATTGCCATCATCACAGAGTATTGTCCGAAGGGCAGCTTGCAGGTAAGCCTTCATTCTCCGTGTTATTTTCGCTTCTGTACTGTTACTAATTACATCAAGTTAAAGGATAGTTCGTTTTTCAACTCTGAAGTTGTTTGTTTAAGTTTCAATATGAATGTAACTTAATACGTCACCAGCGATGACTTTCCTGAAGAATATTTTAATTGGTTTCACAAAAATTAGGAGCGTCCAACATGTATGCTCATTTGGAGGCATCTGTAATGCCGTCACAAGGGGACACTGCTACAGTTCAATGGTGCATAAAGAAAGTGTCCTTCCTTTTTTTACAAATGTTCTCGAAACCATTCCCCTAGCCTTGCTGTGTGATACTGGTCCTAAAGCCTATATATCTGCCCTCGTGAAATAGTCTGCGAAGCACCAATGAAATATTTCACTCTCGACGGTTACTTATCGGCAACAAGAGAGATAAAGGCACGCAGTCCGCTCTTCCTGGTAAGCGAAATAGCTTCATTACGGTATTATAGTATAGTGCTTCTTTCCCGTCTTCGAATCAACCATAAAGTGCAGTCGCTAACTTCTAAGGAGTTTTATTTTTCTTTACAGTCTTTTTTTTTTTGCATAACATTCGTTCACCTGAAGCCCGAATAACTATTGTGATGCGTAAACCTACGTCCAAAAATACGCTGCCTACCCTAATTCTTCCTCTTATAGAACTCATAAACAGATCCCTATACCACAGACCAGCCAGAAATCCGTCGAAGGCTCGTATAGGTTTATGTTCCTTGGCCCATTTCGCGCACACTATACCGCCTCAATGTATTCCCATAAGCTTTGCTTCTTTCAACACGCTAGCACAGCTTTAAAGAAAAAAATCGGCAGCCGTGTCGCAATTCACAAATAAACGAATGCTGCGCCCTGGCGGTATCGTAGCTAAGGTGCTCGGCTGCCGACCCGAAAGTCGAAGTTTCCATTCTGTCCGGGCCGGTTGCACTTCAATGGAGACGTAGCACTAGAGGCCCATGATCTGTGCACGTGCAAGAGCACCCGAAGGTCAAAATTTCGGGAGCCCTCCACTATACCGCATCCCTTGTAATCATAGCATGGTTTTCTAACGTTAAAAAAATCCAAATACTAAAGAAATAAAACAATAAACACATTCCCCTTTTAGCGCTGGCAACTGCTTTAGCTGACGTTAATTTTCAGTGAGCGACGCATTGATACGTTTCTGCTTGTCGTGTGATTTAGCATGTTGAAATTGATGTTCATGAAGTATTTCATCTGAATTGATTTACATGTGGGGTTTAACGTCCCAAAACCACCATATGATTATGAGAGACGCCGTAGTGGAGGGCTCCGGAAATTTCGACCGCCTGGTGTTCTTTAACGCACACCCAAATCTGAGAACACGGGCCTAGAGCATTTCCACCTTCATCGGAAATGCAGCCGCCGCAGCCGGTATTCGATCCCATGACCTGGGGGTCAGCAGCCGAGTAGCTCAGCCACTAGACCACCGCGGCGGGGCGTATTTCATATGAAGGGCATAGTCCACCTATATAGAACGATTCTATCGTAACCAACATATATGCACTGAAGTTCTTTATGTAAAACGCCATTTTGCCTTAACTGCTCGTGGGAGTTTCGCATGCACAGATTCTTTTTTTTTTGTTTTCTCCCTTTTGTTTTGGCAGGATGTATTGCACAACGACTCCCTCCGACTGGAATGGCTCTTCCGGTACTCCTTAATCAACGACATTGTTAAGGTAAGAGCTTCAGAGTTTTGGAAACACGATAATATACCGTCAGGCTTTTCGTACAACAGAGTAGAATACAGGCCGACAAACACAGGATTAATAATTATTCAAGCAAACGACTTGAATAAAATAAAAGGAAGACATTTGAAAAATGAGAAGTAGCCTATTATTAAAATATAGCTTGCACGTAAATCACTTAACTGAGACTGAATTATTACAAAGTGCCATAACAACTTATAACCAAGATTAGCCGTAAATAACTGGTTACAGTGTAAACATGCATGAACTAGTTAAGTTTATGAGTTATCAATGATTGATGTTCATTTATCACGTTTTATATTAATTAAAATTGCTGCAAGTGTCTTTCAACTCCTAGCCCTAGACTTCCCGAGATTCATTCGTTAAGCGCCAGTTTATTGAAGCAAACGGTAACCACCATAACAGTACGTACGATAAAAATGGTGTCGAAGGAATATTGAAGGGCGCGTTCACACTTGACCTCGAAGAGAACGAAAGCGGAAGAACAAGTGGAAATTCACTCGCTTCGCCGTCCACGCGGTTGGAAAACCACGCCGCAATACGAGAACGAAAAATCTTGCCACGCAAAAGCGGACCCTTTTCCGCTTCACAACTTTGGCTGCACTAGCTCAAGCCACGTCATATCAACAGCCGGCCGCAGATTCCCCATGGCGGCAAAGGCGTAGGCGGTGGCTCTAATCGACTCAAATTGCGAACTACCAGTGCAGCAAGACTAAACTTGACGGTCTCAACAAGTACGCGTTCATCGAGATCCTGGTTTGTATTAAACTGGCAGTGGATGGTGCACCAGCAACGAGTCGGCTTTCCCCAACTTGTCTCGATAAGGTGCACAACCAGCTGAATCATCCGCTGCCAGTGCATTCGCTCATGTCGTTTCTGCTAGCCTATCTCCCGAAACAACGTTTTTAAAGGTGTGAGCTGTTTCTTTTCAGTACTTTGCGCGAGTAACTAGAATTCGCTACAAAATTTGGTGCTCAGAAAGCAGGCAAACTCAAATTAATTCTCAAAGTAGCCAATACAGCGGCGTCGGTAGCATCTCCCAAGGGCAGAACAAATTTTAACATCTTCCACGCTTGCAGCCGCGGTTTTTCGGCGACTCTGGCTTCGTTTTCACTACACTTTTCAAGTGTGAATGTGGCCTAAGAGTAGATTAAAATACAAGTGTAAGAACAAACTTTTAGTACAAAGTGAAATTTTATACGCACACACACACGTGGTAGCGCAGGAAATACAGGAAGTGTTTAACGGACGCTACCACAGAAATTATCGCACCTACTCACAGAAAATTGTCAAAACGGCCCTGCAGTATTTTAGTGTACAGTGCACGTTAGGCGCTGACTCTACTTTCACTGCAATCACGACGCGCAGGGCATGAGCTACCTGCACAGCAGCGAGATCGGCACGCACGGCCGACTCCGCAGCTCCAACTGCCTGGTGGACAGTCACTTCGTGCTCAAGCTCACCGACTTTGGCCTGCCTACTTTTCGTAAAGACGAGACTTACAGCCCATTCGTCACAGAGGGATCTCAGAGTGAGTACCTCATGTGGTCCACGGAATCTCACCTTCTCAACAAATCATAGCTATTCGCAATGAATGAATGAATGAATTCTTTTACGTCTTGTTAGCACTAGAATTTATTCATTCATCTAGTCATTCCTTCTTGAGATACTCACTTGGTATTATAAGATAAGGGGTGGGATTGTAGTAGTTCGACCAATATTAAGGTGAGAGAAATTTTCCATTCCATTACAGACCACTTCAATACTCCTTGGTACGTCAGCACTGCGCAAGAAGGCGTTGCTCATGCAGTCTATGCATTTTATAACATCGCCAAGACACGTAAATGTTGGCCTGAATGACCTTGAGTATTAATCAAGTCGTAGCATTCTGCCATTATGGGCCCTAAACTTTAATTATGTGCCTGAACATTAGCGCAATGCACATAGCGTAAATGCGTGTAGAAATGAATTCGATTTCGCCGCTAATTGCTAATAATGCAAAACATAATACTATCACACGCTACATTAATGTCTTGAAATAACCTACCAAGCGTAGAAACAATGGGATGCTAAGAAAGAACATGACTGTTTCATTTGTGCTAGTGGTGCTAATTTTATTCGTTTCCCTCTTGACAGAATTCTTGTGGAAGGCGCCCGAACTCCTGCGGCTCAAGCAGTGTCCATCGGGAGGAACTCAAAAGGGCGACGTCTACAGTTTCGGCATCATTCTGCAAGAGATTAGTCTCCGAGAGGACGCATTTTATCCACACTGCGATCGCATGGAAAATGCAGGTGAGGTGACGTATTTTTTTTCTGGTGGAGCACTAATGAATGGACATTTGTAGTGAAACATAACATAAACTTCATGGCAGTACAGTGCTACTACAATGAGCTGCGTTGCTGCACACCTTTACAACCACATTCGGACTGCTACTTCAGGCACAGATGAACGTATAAGAGTATGCTCATATATAGATCACTACCATCCCGTCCAAGTTTTTTTTTTCTTCTAAACATAAAGATAAATAGCAACATTATAGACGAGAATCTCAAATGCCAAGCACTTCTTTAAGAAACGACATATGAGTTCATACCCATGGTATTTAAAGAAATTGCCATAACCCACGTACCTTGGGAATCAACGTTACGCGAAGCGTGCGGATAGAAGGACGCTAGCTACACGCACTGCACGCATTACCACCATGAACTGTGGTAGGCTGAAATACTTCATTAGAACGCGATTCTGGTTACGTGCGCACGAATACGCGTACATCTGTGACGTATCTGTGATGACCATGTGCCTGTGGGTCATGAATACGCGTCCAGTAGTCTGTTGACACCTCCTTAACTTAAGCCAAATCACTGTGAAATGCCAGTACCATCAGCAGAAGTAAAGTTGTTCCTATAATCCTCCGTTATTGCGGCGATAAGGGGCCTATGTACACTCTACTATGACGTACAGTTTAGTTGCTTGATATTGTTCGTCTCTGTTATGAAGAAGTGGTCAGTGACACCTCCATTCGTCGTCGTGGGAGGAAGATTTCGGGAAGCTCGGTCTGCATAGAAAACGTCTTTTTTGTATTGTGTGAACCAGGTTTGGTTGTGTTTTGAAGCATCCATATTGAAGTCGCCAGCAATGATGAGCAGCATAAGGCTGATATGTAGCGCTTGTGCCAGCGAAGATGGTGGCCCTGGACACTGCTATGGTGGCTGTATGAAAGGAGTATGTATGTTCTGTTCATGGTATTGTACAGCCAGCACTGGAACCACAGTTGACGTTTCACGAGGATTAGGCCTACATGAAAAGCAGCACCGAGACCTAGCGTGGTTCGCTGGTAGAATGCTTGTTTGCCACACAGAATGTGGAGTTCGATTCCTGCTTGGACCATGATATTTATTTTATGCATTCGTTGGGTCAACGCTGCCGGTGCCAGCTTTTAGGGGCGAAGTTCCCTAGGGCAGCCCTTGTTGACACCCATCACGCCCCACAAAAGACAAACTGGAACAGAACACCTGCACGGCAAAAAACGAAAACATATGCGAAAACAACTGCTCTTTGTGTCTAATCAACTATATGACAGTGCAATGAATGACCACCCGCGCTGTCCATCTGTCCGTCCGTTCGTGCGTCCTATGCCAACCATGAATCAATGCATACGCCCACCCGTCCATCCGTCTGTCCGTTCTTCCGCTTTTATTTTATACTAGTCGGCAACTTCAACGTAGACATTATGAACCTTAGAACCTGTAGCTTCACCTACTCATCATCATACACTTCGTAAAGATGCAGTGATCTATCTTAGCACTTTGAATTAAAATTACCAATGTCTGTTCGCGCCATTCCTCCACTTATATAAACGGTCAATCCCCTTCAGTACCTCGCGCTTAACTGCAGTAGATCTTAACCCGACGTGACGGCTAGATCGTAGGAGCACATATGTAGTGTTTATAAAATCAGATAGCCGGATCGCCATCACTGCATACCGAATTAACACTTCATGAACATTACAGTCTATTTGAAAAGCAGTTGCGAGACCTTGCGTGGCTCTGTGGAAGAATACTTGGTGGCCATGCAGAATGCTGTGGTTCTTTTCCTCCTGGGACACCAACATTTTTTTCTTTACATTCGTCGGGGAACGCAACTGAAGTCAGCTTTTCCTTAACGCTAACGCGTGAAAATTACCCATGTGTGCTCACCCTTTCTAGGTAGATGTGAAGTGTTAATCACCTGTGGCACATATCTGCATACCAGTGGCACATACCCACCCACGGGTATACGTGGCGCTGTCTGGCGGGAAGTGTTTGACGACGTACGCAACAGAATGGTAACATGATTCATGTCATGACTAGAGAGTCGTGTTCTTCAAACCGTCACCCCGCCGCGGTGGTTTAGTGGCAAAAGTACTCGGCTGCTGACCCGCAGGTCACGCGATCGAATCCCGGCTGTGGCTGCTGCATTTTCAATGGAGGCGAAAATGCTGTAGGCCTTCTGCTCAGATCTTGGTGCACGTCAAAAATCCTCAAATGGTCGAATTTCCCGGAGCCCTACACTACGGTGTCTCTCATAATCATATGGTGGTTTTGGGATGTTGAAGCCCCCATATCAATCATCAAGCAATCGTCAAACCACCTTACCCTCACATACTAATTTTGGTTTACGCCAAGTTAAGGGGGATATCCCGACAGCATCCTGACATTAGATAGATAGATAGATAGATAGATAGATAGATAGATAGATAGATAGATAGATAGATAGATAGATATAGATAAGATAGATAGATAGATAGATAGATAGATAGATAGATAGATAGATAGATAGATAGATAGATAGATAGATAGATAGATAGATAGATAGATAGATAGATAGATAGATAGATAGATAGATAGATAGATAGATGCATGGATGGATGGATGGACGGACGGACGGACGGACGGACGGACGGACGGACGGACGGACGGACGGACGGACGGACGGACGGATGGATGGATGGACGGACGGACGGATGGATGGATGGATGGATGGATGGATGGATGGATGGATGGATGGATGGATGGATGGATGGATGGATGGATGGATGGATGGATGGATGGATGGATGGATGGATGGATGGATGGATGGATGGATGGATGGATGGATGGATGGATGGATGGATGGATGGATGGATGGATGGATGGATGGATGGATGGATGGATGGATGGATGGATGGATGGATACCAAAAATACTCGCAGTATGCAAAGAAATGCTTTGCAATTAAAGTAAACCTTTCTTTGTTAGATAAATGTCGCTAGCATATGACGCCGGAAAGTTGCATTAACAACGTTTGGTCATTACGTAACTTGATGGCCTTAATATATTATGTTCTACGTACGGTAATATCATGATCGTGGAGTCGCCTATCGCGGATGTTGTGTAGGCAGTATCTTCATATCTCATTGGACTAATAGGTGCTTATCTGCATTGATTATCAGTATCCATGTTCCATACCGTGTTTATACAAACTGCTCAAACTTTTGGTAAACTGTACTATACTGCTCGCACATATTAACGAGCAACCTTGTAGACAACTCACAGTACTATTATTATGGTATATAGTCACTCTTTCAGTTGCACCAACTGGCAGGTATAGGACTAAGAGCAATATAAATGGAGAAATTATCTCTATTTTATTGGATTCATCTCTATGTTCTTGGAAATAAACAGCGACACAGCAAGAATTAACGAGCGGGAACGAGTGTGATACAAGCGGAAGCACATATGAGGGTGCAAGAGCTATCTCTAGCCTGAGTTTAAAATATGCTGACGCACACTTATAAGGAAGCGTCTATGCTGCCGACTATTGCATAGAATAAGTGGCAATATTTTTTTTCTTTTTCGCCTATAGCTGTCCAAGTCGGCATATTCAACTAACTATCTTTTGAAGCGAGAAAGCGTGGTATAAATTCCAATGAGAAAGTTGTATACCAGTCTACAAAGCGTTAGATTGTACTGTTTCTGTTTATTAAGTATTATTGTTTTTCCGGCTACTACAGGGGCCCCGAAACACATAAAATAATAATACGTGGCATTTCCAACTGTGCGCCTCAACGCCTGATGATTCTATTGCCGTCACACGCTCCGCGTAAAAGCGATATCCTTCGTCACTGCGGTTCATGACAACGATAAGCGAAACCAATCGATCATCGCTTGCGTTGCCGCTGTACTATGAACGGCGTCATCGCACAGCCACCACCACCATCACTGTCCTGTTGAGGCAGCACACCCGGCCAAATGCTATGGTCGTTTGTACGCGGAATGTTAGGAAGCACCAAAATCACAGTACGTGTAAGCGTGCAGACAGGCATGACCCGTGGAAATCTTGGGGGAATTTCGCCGACATCACTAGTATAAGCGGTAAAAACACTATTAATAGATATAAATTGTGAAAAAGACTAAGTGGTCGTTTTGCAAACCGATCTACAACTTTCTCATTGGAACTTCTTGTCGAACTTTGTTGTTTTAGCAGATTAAAGTTTATAATTGGGTAAATAGTTATAAAGAAGAATAGCATGACCTACAAAACACAAGAGTCAACTACGTGCATTTGGTCATCTTATCATAGCGTGCTCCAGCATATTTCTTAACTCTTGCTAGCTATAACTCGGGCAGCGTTGTACAGCCTAGGAGGGCTGACAGACAGCTAGATAATAGAAACAGTGCAAGCTGTTTAGATGATTTTGCACTGCAGGTGTTGGGTGCTTTAAGCAGTAGCCCTATAAAAGAGACAAAAACATAAACGATGAAATAGAGAGAAACGCTTGATTTTGCGCACTGAGAAGTGCTAGTTTGTGTAGTTCGAATGTTGAAGGCATGACAGAACTATCTACGCCTTGCAGATATGCTAGCACGGGTTATGTCCCTGGAGGACCCACCATTTCGACCGATTGTCGAGAAGGATGCCTGCATCTGTGAGCTTCACCAGCTGATGACGCGATGCTGGGCCGAGGACCCTGACGATCGTCCCAGCTTCAACCAAATCAAGGTCCACATGCGAGTCATCAACCGGTCAGTATATCAAGAACCTTCCAGCTGTGAATTCTGTGACGAGACGTATAGGCACCCCATGGACATCTATACATACGGCCCTATAGACCAGTGGAGTAGGCAGGCAGAAGTCAATTTCTAGCGGCGTGGGGCACGTTTTTGATCTGAAGTAGATACCGGGCAGGAACTCTGGGTCTGGTGTCATTTTGTGCTGCGCGTTTCATGGCAGAGAGAAATTTCAGAAGGGGCGATTTTCAGATGTGCCACTCACTGGCTGCGCCACTGCCTTAGGCTGCACATCATACTACCCCAAAGCACACACGCACACACACAAAAAAAAGCAAGTTGCCGCACTCTGAGAGCCCAGTGAATCTCTTCAACCTTATGTGAAAATGCACGGCTCACACCGCAGAGGAAGTAGAGAGTCATATGAAAGTTATACGGGAAGCATAGCTCTCTAGACTTGCCCTAGGGGACCAGCTCAAGTATTTCCGGAAGGAATAAAAGATGGCGAAGGCCAGCGGTGCCTCGTAATTATGGCCTGATCACACAGCGTTCAGAGGCAACGAAAGTAAGCGCAAATAAAGCTTTAATCCCTTTCATGCATGCCCTTCTAAACGCCAGGGTCTGCTCAAACGTAAATTACAGGTTCATGCTAGGACGCATTTCCGAATTCCCACTGCTAAACAGCAGTCCTCTCTCGTGCTCCAGTATAGTTGACAAATGCGCGCAAGCCACCGCATCGATCCTTCGTGTAATTCCACGCGCTGATTCCGAGCGGTGGTAGACGCTGCTGCGCCATTGCATATGCACCTGTTAGACGATATTTCACAGCAGTTTTAGGGGTTTAGATAGTTTAAGGATGTGGTACAAAGTTGGGGCGTTTACCGAAATGATTTCCAAAGAAAGTAACAGCGCTTTGTTTTTATCGTTAGTGGATTGACCCAGTTTTTTCAGCTTTGGTGATCGCAATTCCCGACAGAATTAGTGAAGATCTCTATATTATCTCAACCGTGAACGATCCACCACTCTAGCGGAGGTCTAAAATTTCTTCCTCGCAGCAGGACCGAATTATCTTCAAATGGAAAGCCCACTGGGTTGCATGTCTCTATCAGGAGCGTTTTCTTCCTGTAACGTATCCCTTACTTGTTATTCCCGTGCAAGTAATAATAATAATAAATGAACGGCGCCGAAACGGCACTTTGGTAATGAGGCAGCACACTCAACAAGAAAAAAGTGTCGTATAAAGTGTCTTTCAAAGTTAGCTATGTAATACTGCGCAAATATGGGTCATGTTTCACAGCACCACTGTTGTGTGTGCAGGGGCTATCACGGAGAAGTGAACATCATGGACAACATAATGGCTCGCATGGAACAGTACGCCAATGAGCTGGAGGTACTGGTTGAACAAAGAACGGCAGCGTTTCTTGAGGAGAAGCGGAAATCTGAGGAACTTCTGTATCAAGTACTGCCAAGGTAAATACAGATGGAGAGATAAGAGTACTCCGAGACCTGTGTTACGTCGACACTTACTGTAGCGCTTTCATGCGAAATGTTCGAATTCGACGCTGATGACAGTACGTAGTGATGTGGCAGTGCTAAGTAGAATTTTCCTGTGTTTTTTTTTACTTTCCTCATAATATTAGAAAAGAGGTTAAGTATGAGCAAATAAAACAAAACGAGAACGCAGTGAATTGAGATATATAGTATATAAACACAGTGCGCAAATACATATAATGAGTAAACTGGTCTTAGTGGATGTGTTCAAAAATAAACTTATTTTGCGCGTAGTCAAGGAAGCTTGATTGGAAGTCGTTGATTAGATGTTACCTTACTTGAGGCTGCTGCCTCAAGTAAGGTAACATCTTATTTTAACAGTCATTTTTGTGTAACACCTCAAACTTCAACTCCGGTCCAAATACGATGCCGCGAAATCACGTCGCAATAAAAAATGCCTGAATTACAGGTCCGTTGCGGAACAACTGAAACGCGGCAAAGCCGTGATTCCAGAATTGTACGACAGCGTCACGATATACTTCAGCGACATAGTTGGGTTCACTTCCATGTGTTCATCAAGCACACCAATTCAGGTAAGCAGCAGGGCAATATATTTGCCAAAATTATGATGTGACCTTCAACTAATCAGTAGAGGCAGACCCAGATGAATTTTGAACAGATGGTGCTCATTACAATTCAAATTTAGCGTTACCACTGCGTATTTTGCTACCTTCGAACAGCATGAGCTTTTATGTGATGCTGCAGTCATACTGACTTCTTTTCTTTTTCCACTGCAGGTTGTAGACTTCCTGAATGACTTGTATACATGTTTTGACGCAGTCATCAGCGACTTCGACGTTTACAAGGTCAGTGGTAGCGCAACGTCACTATCCATGTTAGTGCAGACTGTATATACAAATGGTGCATGTACCTACGACTGCGTCTTTCCAACAAATCTACTGACGTAATCCCTATTGATGAGAACTAAAGAGGCACTGATGCCAAGATAAGTATAGGGAATGTTATTAGGAGCAATTATAATGTATATGTGAAGAAACAAATGTGTCAATGGTTTTCAGGCGGTGCTGACTGATGCTCCTACTTTTAAATGGACACATAGACCTCATAGAGTGAACGGGGGGTGATGACCACCACCGTATCTCAGTAGTAGAACATAGGACGCGTTGTTCGAAGCTCGCCGGTCCGGTTCCTGCTGGTGGCAACTTATCTTTTCGTCCACTTTTCTATCTTCAAAATTACTTCTAATAACATCACCTATACTTCTCCGGCATCATTTTGTCTGTCAGTTTTCATAAATATTATGCCCAAAATGAAAATAAGCCCTTAAATTTGCACTTTCCTTTTTTCTCGATAGTGTTATTTTCATATTACACTCCTAAGCTGTTTGGCAAAAAACTTGTGCAATAAAATCACGTGTTAAATATTGAAATACAGTAAAGGCGAACCCAATAGGAAATCATAGGGTATTCATAAAAGTGGCATGCACTGCAATAATAATTTTCCTAGCAACGCGTTTAACTAAAAGTCATGCATGGTTTTGGCAGCGAAGCTCTCGAGCAATGTGAATGTGTGAACCTTACGCGCAAGACTGTCAATCTCTGCTGATTCTGCGCACCTCCTCTGAACTTTTCTGTTCATGTGTTACAGTGATTAGCTTGCACGATGAATTAGTTATAAACGCACAACGCAATTTACCACAATGTGTATAACTTTGCTTCTCTGCGACATGCCATGACAGAAAACAATACATTGCAACGATTCCTCACAGTTTGAGTAGTGTATTTTTGAACACTCCTTGACCATACCAAATCTTACGGAATTGAAAGTATCGGCTCTAGGAAAATCGTGTCTTTAAATGCTATTTGCGGTTGAGACACGTTCTTTTAGTGAGCGTCGTTGCGATGCCAGTGCCCTCCTCCCACAGCACACGAAAGTTCTGCGTGTTACTTTCGGATTCAGTTCAAACCAATGGTCACATTGCCTCCGAGATTAAAAATTAGTCTGGTAGCCCTGCGCCAGCAACGTGGTAGGTGCTTTAACAGTCTCAGAGGAGGCGCTCGCGGTGGATCGATTTCGGGCGAAGACTTTAGGGGGCGCTTCCGCCTGTTGTTGTCTTAGGCAGAAAACGTTAGATGGCGCCACAGAAACTGAATATCAATTGTTGGGGGCAAAAAGCACATGTCCCATCACGCCCCTTACCTGGCATTTCGCTTCCCAACCAAGCATTGTATATATGAAGCGTGCGCGGGTCTATGTCTCCCCCTCCCGTCTTCCGTTATCCTCTTGAATCAAATCATTTTCCAGATCATTCGGCGCTTTTGCGGTCACTCCAATTGTTCTAGAGAACAATGATAATTTTTGTATTGTTCTCAAGGCACGTGCCCTTTAATGAAAATACTTTTTGAATATACATCAAAGGGCAGATAAAAAAATCACAGCATATCCACGGAGTGAATGTTGAGGAGTGGGGCGAAGCTTCGGGGGGTTTTATCGGTAAACCGTGAATCGTCTGTCTGTCTGTCTGTCTGTCTGTCTGTCTGTCTGTCCGTCCGTCCGTCCGTCCGTCCGTCCGTCCGTCCGTCCGTCCGTCCGTCCGTCCGTCCGTCCGCACCTGCTGAGTGAGTCATCGAACTAGGCGGTCACGTACGAGCGAGGAGGGACAGGCCCACGGCTTTAGGGGCTTCGCCCCCGAATTGGCCTCTGGAAAAAGCCATTAGGAAAAGCCCACCACTGACATAGCGAAAGGCAGCGATGTCGGTTCCCCACGGAAGTCATTGCGTTTGGTCATATATAGGTATTGTGGAAGGCGTCAGGGTAGACAGGCGGGTTCAACTCGAGTCCGCATAGGCGGCGTATCGATCGGCGCAGAATGCAAAATCACCAGCGTTTTCGGCATGCGTTAAACATTGTAACCGTGTTAACTGCTTCAGCGTTTACTGTTTGTAAGGTGTTCCAATTCAGTCAAAATTTTTGTTGTTGGCTCATTATTTCTCAGTCTGAAATTTCATGTGAAAATATGAAAATTTAATTTGATTTTAATGGCGTCCACAAGTATGTAAGGCAGCAATGAAGGGACTTTTTTTTTTCGACCACATTTTTTTCTGCGCTTAGTCTGACTGACCCTGCTTCTATGTTATCACTAGGATCAGTGCGCCACAATCAGGATGCGATAAGACAAATAGTATCAAGCGAAAGAGGTTCTTACATTTCACTCACGAGGAAATAATTAAACAGCACAAAATCTGATATAACCTATTATTATTCCGGCGGCCATGGAACGATATTCATCCACTGCAATGAAAGTGTAAAGTGGTATTTAAACTGCGTAAGTTTTTTTTTTTTTTTTTTTGCACTGTGACACAACGAACCACGACAAGGAAAACTTACAAAGAAACTTGGCTCGTGGGTATCTTCAAGATAATTTTAAAAAGCAAAACATAACATTGCAGCTCTTGGACAATTTTATGCACGTTTGCTATATTATTTTGCTTTCTACCAGCACTCCTCCGGAGGACTGAAGTTTCGCCTATCATGTAGAGTGCCATGTAGCGCATTATTTTTTAGCACAATCATGAAATAAATGCCGACGTAAAATCCTCCTAGTAAAATATCCAAGTTTTACCTAACACTATAAACACAGTCCACTATTGAACAAACGGGAAAGCATACACTATACAGTTCGCTCTTGTTCCCGTTCTTTGGGTTGCCCAACTTTTGTGCTACTGGGTATGTCCTGTTGGCTTATTTCAGGATAGCACGCAAATGGTACATAACGTAGACATACAAACATCAAATCACTATAAACTACACGACGTAAATTTTTTGTCACACTACAACAAATAAGTCGCATAACCACAATCACCACGTCATGCTGTCACACATAGCCACCATCACTTTGCTATGTCCTCCACATACTCGCGCATTAAGTATATGTGTGCGCGTTGGAGAAGTCGTCGTCATGTGTGATGCCAGCTACACCTGCTCCAACAGTGCATCGCAAATATAATCAGATTTGTTTCACCCGTCCCTCTATATCCAAAACATTGAAGTGAATGAAACAACATTCCTACATTTCGCTGCTAATTAAACACAAACATTAGCCATAAGCTAAACGTCACGTAAATTTTGGAGGCCTTGCCTTCACATAATTTGTGTTGCCCAAACTCTTCACTCTAATTTCGCTGATTCACTAGCGCCGGCGTTTTCTTTGCCAACACGCCCTACACTGGTGAGACGGAACTAATTGTAACACTAATTGTTAAAGTTTTACGTCCCAATATTACGAGATTTTTACGAGAGATGCCGTAGGGCAGGGCCCCAGAATTTTCGGCCACGTTGAAGTTTTTCAAGGTTAACTTATCTTTTATCACAGCATTAGTCCGCGCCATAGCGTGGCGTGCGTGTCGTGCATTTCAAAAGTGAAATTTCCATATCCGCTCACTATACGCGCAGGGGAATCACATTAGCGAGGACATCGGAAGGGGCGATGCACCCAATTCACAGCAAAGCGCTCCACGAGAGCAACCAACAGCGCCGGAGTGCTTGCCCACGCTTGCATAAAAGGGGCGCAATCAGCGACGACGAAAGGAACGCAGTTCGCGCGTAAAAGCGGCTCTACCTTATAGCTGCGCATATTGGGGCCGCAATTCGAGCAGCGAGTAGCTACGCAAGCGTTTCGCACAATTGCGTATCGCTGTCAGCGAGTCGTACAGAATCCCCCCAGACGATCACACGCTGCACATGTGGGGTTGCGCTGGTATATTCAATAAGTGTCCGGGTTCGCTTCTCTCTCTCTCTGCCTTGAGTTCTTGCTTCTTTGTCACGGTTGCGTTCGTTCTCGCTGTGCCTGTTTGAAAACAATGAGCGCACGAAACAAACTTCCGGGGAAAGTTAACATGCAGCTTAGAAACCGGGTGTCCGTGTTATTGTCTGGCACGTGCCGGTATCTGAGCGCTGCGCGTCACGGCCACATTTGAGTGGGCCGCTTTATGTGTGGTTTATTTTATTTATTTTATTTTCCTGTACGTAAAGTAAAAGGTTGTAACGCCTGACGAAGGCTTTTGTTCCGAAATACAGTCTGGTACACAACTATAGACGCAGATACTTGATTGATATGTGGGGTTTAACGTCCCAAAACCACCATATGATAACGAGAGACGCCGCAGTGGAGGGCTCCGGAAATTTTTACCACCTGGGGTTCTTTAACGTGCACCCAAATCTGAGCACACGGGTCCACAACATTTCCGCCTCCACCATAAATGCAGCCCGCGACCTGCAGGTCAGCAGCCGAGTACCTTAGCCACTAGACCACCGCGGCGGGAAGGTGTTAACGCTGGGCATCCAGCAAAACTTCATGGTGCTCATGCTGTCTCTGTCCTGATGTTTCCCGTGTTTTGATTTTCGAGTATGTTCATTTCTCACGAGTAGTTTCAATGGCGACCACTGACGCTTGGCTTGTGTGCTTCTCTCCCCCTGTTTTGCTTTAAGGTAGAAACCATAGGGGACGCTTACATGGTTGTGTCTGGGCTTCCAGATCGCAATGGCCACAGCCACGCCCGGGAAGTGGCCCGCATGGCGCTCAGTCTGCTGCGCGCCATACGAAACTTTCGAATCAGGCACAGGCCTGACGACACGCTCAAGCTGAGAATCGGCATACACACCGGTGAGCCTGATTCAAACATTTTTTTCTTTATGGTGGGCTTTACAAAACTTCGATGTGGCCTGGCATGTCTGTAACATGGTCTCAAAGAGAAAAGCATGCTTTCACACAGAGAGACAATCGCGTTCGTATGTCTGCAGTGCTTTAAGGGCTGCTGATAGCCAAACTTCGACTTTGTTGTGTCACTATGTTCAGGTGTCCAAAGCACGTCACGTGGGCCGCAAACATCTGGTCAACGACCAAGAATGTGTATATATATATATATATATATATATATATATATATATATATATATATATATATATATATAACTTTTTTTTCAAGTGTGCTCATTAAGCTACACAGACGTGACTGGTTTAAAACATTCCTTTTTTTTCGTGTGTGAGGCGCACCATTCGGTCACGATGTATTAAAACATGACCATGAAACAACTATACTTCAGATTCGAGGTCTAGATTTCAGTCGTTCTGTCGATCATCATCGGTGTGTTTCTCAAACTCTGACGTCAAATGCTCTTCAATAATGGCCTATATATAGGATATAGCAAAAATATTCTCTCGAATGGCAAATTGATAACAGTGTTGAAACTATAAACCCCCCACCCTTGGCGTTTTTCGGGAGGCCATGTTTCGCGGCTGCGGTCGAAACAATCGGCAGCGCGGTAGCATGAAACAGGGACACAAATAATAGGGTGTTTAACAGCCCAAAACCACTGCAGGTTGTCGAAATTTCAGGAGCCCTTCACTGCGGTGATCATATCGTGGTTTTGGGCTGTTAAACACCCTATTATTTGTGTCCCTGTTTCATGCTCCCGCGCTGCCGATTGTTTCGACCGCAGCCGCGAAACATGGCCTCCCGAAAAACGCCAAGGGTGGGGGGATTATAGTTTCAACACTGTTATCAATTTGCCATTCGAGAGAATATTTTTGCTATATCCTATATATAGGCCGTTATTGAAGAGCATTTGACGTCAGAGTTTGAGAAACACACCGATGATGATGGGGTTCTTTGAGGTAAGCACATGGGCCTTAGACACTTTCGCCTCCATCGAAAATTCAGCCGCCGCAGCCGGGATTCGATCCTGCGACCTTCGCGTTAGCAGTCTAGCGCCATAACCACTAGACCACCTCGGTGTGGCCAGAAACACAAACTAACACACAAGAGAATACACGAGTAACTAATAAACAACGCCCACTAGCTGAAGGCAGTTTCAGACCTCTGCTTAGAGTATCATTGGGGGCTGCACCCATGGACTTTTCTGCAAGAATTTCCTTTGAAACATTACGCTAACTCACGACAAACAAAGTTGAGTGGAGTCACGTGGTGCACTCTAGCTGTTAATTTTATTTCGGTATTTATTTATTTTTTGTAATCACTAGCAGCCATCTTTAACTATGCGCGCACTGAGTAATGAATGCTAAAGCACGCAAACAATTAGAACGATAATTTCGTTCACAGAGTAAAGTTATTATTGTAAATATAGGATTATAGACAAGTCGTTGGCTGTGCACAATGTTAGAACGCGATATATTTTACAGAATACAATAATTGAAAACACTATACGCAGCGCAGCCGTCCACTGTACTGTCTCCATACCTCTCCCGTAATCAAGTTCGCAGCGAAGTCTGTTGATATATGGGCGCCCACAAAGCAAACCAAAAGCTAGAAGTTCGCACTCACAACATTACCAACCAACTTTCAACATACCACATGTGGCACGGAAATCTCTGTTTATAATTAAAACTGCTGAAGTGACTCGGATATAATGCGGTATTACCTTTTGCTTCTAAAATATTAACGAGCTGTACACGCAACAAAGTAACTGTTAGCGTGTCGCTCCCCTCCCCCCCCCCCTTTTTTTCTTCTTCTCGTGTTTCATTCAGGTCCTTGTTGTGCTGGAGTTGTAGGGCAGAAAATGCCCCGTTACTGCCTTTTCGGAGATACTGTCAACACTGCCTCGAGAATGGAATCGAATGGAGAAGGTTAGTCGCTATTCACCATTTCCGGTACAGCTTACCGGTAAAGTGCCAACCCCACTTTTTTTGAAAACTTCGTTGATGTCGATAGGGCTCCTACGTGTACACCCTTCTGCAAAATAAGTCGGTACGAGAGCTTGACGATCGCAATCAGATAAAACTGCATCGCCCCGCCTTCCGCCGTTGAGCGTCTGATTTTGAGACATCGCACTGCGCATGCGCACTTCACGCTCGCGGTCATATCTTTTTACTCGCTTGCAGAGTATGTGTAGCGTTATGCCGTAGGGGTCACTTTCTTTGTTTAATCCGTCACACGTTCAGTTCAACGGGGCCATGCTAGCGGTAAAGGGTAAGCCGTCCGTTCAACCTTCATCACACAGATAATACGTAGCATCTGGACTTCCTCCTCTTATAAAAGTAATATGAAGAATGTTCTTCGGCTCAATTAACGCCTGGTTCAACTTTGGTGCCCTTGTTAGTATTTCGGTATCACGCTATACGTTGTATAACCAAAAATAGAACATTCACACAAAGTGACAAAGCAATCAATGCTGTATGTGGCAGCGCTTTGACACTGACACAAAGTAAGCTATGCATATTTATTCGGTCAAAGCCAGCAGCGTACGCATCCCACCAATTGAACCCCTGTCGCATATAGTGCGTGACTGGTGGGAAAAAGAAAGCAAGCAAAAAGAAAATCGCAAAACATGCATAATCAGCTACTCCACTGTAAGCGATAAAAAGACATGGCTGTGAGCGCAAAAGGACGCACACGTGCACTTCCATGTCTCGGCGCCATTCAAACGTTAACACCAAACGGCGCGGCAATGCCATTTTATCTTCAATTTTATCTGATTATGTTCGCCGCTCGCACGCCCCCGACTTATTATGCCAACGGATGTAAACTTAACACGTGTAAGCCTTATTGCCGATGCTTTCCAGCGCTGCGTATTCACGTCAGCCCCGATACCAAGACGGTCCTTGAGAGGTTCGGGACGTTTCACTTGGAACCACGAGGAGGCATCGAGATAAAGGTGTGTTGCAAGCACGGCTTTTGATGTTATGAAATCAACGAATCTGTGCGGTAGCATTTCTGTATGCAGACCACGGCGTTTCCACCTTATAATGCAGTCCGATAACTTTCTCGCCTGTCGTTTGTATTCTTATATTACTACTAAACTATAATGGTTTTTCACAGGGTTTTGCAAGCCAAAATAACGATACGATTATGATTGTCTTGTGGGTTTGCTTTTGTTGATTGGGTGGCCCGGATTCATTTTGATTCTGTAAAGCGCATCTAAACCTAAATGCACAGGGCCGGGTTAACTGGCGGAACATGAGAGAGGCCTTTGTCCTGCAGTGGACGTAGTCAGGATGATGATGATGATGATGATGATGATGATGATGATGATGATGATGATGATGATGATGAAACCTAAATGCACGGGCGTTATTGCGTTTCGCTCGATTGAAATAAGCAGGCAAGTGAATGGCGTAATAGACTGTCAATATTTCCGTAAAAATACTGCTGAGGTATGAAATTATGCTAACATACATGGGGATGCGTCACCTTAAATATTTTAACGTTATCCTGCATCAGTTCTGTTCTGTTCTGTTTGAATTGTTTTGCTGTGGAGAGGTTTAGGTGCATATTGCCTCGGCTACTCCATATCACAAAGTTCTGCTGCGAAAAAAAAAGAATAATACAGAACAGTACCCAAAAATTAACAATACGGAAAAGAAAAAAAGCATAATAGCACAGTGAAACCAGTTCAAATATCATGCCAATACATAGTTCTTTTAGAGCAGCTCACATAGTCATAAATTGTTTACACGCACACCTTCCTTTTCTACTGTCAGTATATGCATAAATTATTTTATATATATCTATCTCTGGCTGTCTATAATAGGCGCTTGTCCAGTCCGGTCTTCACTAAAAAGTCTGTCAGGAAGATTATTGCCTTTTTTTGGAGATGCATCTCAGGCCATGGTTTAAGTAGTTTCTTTATTTTGAGGGGCCGTCTGTCCGGACTTCCTAATTTGTTATTTAATTTTTCTCTTTCATTCGCGTATTTAACGCACTCCAAAAGAATATGGCGAACATTTTCTTCTGCATGACCACAATGGCATTCCGGTGAGTTGGGTCGATGTATCTTGTGCAGGAAGCTGTTACCGGAGATTTGCAAACTTAACTGTTGTAGTTTACAATGCGACAAAGACACATTACGAAAGCTACGTTAATTTCTGGCACGTCACCTTTTTTAACACATCGAGGTTCATCACGCAGAACCCTCTACACAGAGCAAAACAAAATGTCAGGTGTGCCTGGTTCAATTCTTTTTGCGCTCGTCGAGAGGTTTGCAGCGTTAAAAGCTTGTTGCTCTAAGACTACTGCCTCACACGAGAAACCTATCACGTATACATCAATCTACGCAGGGCAAAGGCTTGATGCACACTTACTGGCTTCTCGGCGAGCACTCCAAAGACCTACGAGTCTTGGACGGTGTCAAGAAGGTCATGATTTGAGACGCCAGCTCGTCACCGCGCCACCTTGTGCTAGTCAAAGTGATCTGCGACCACGTTTGTCTTCTGCAACTACTCGGTGGGTTGACCAAACGCCTGGTGTGACATGCCTACCAGCTGGCGACGGACGTGTGACGTGAACATACCTGGAATACCTCACTTCTGTTATTCGTGTGTGGCGTTAACGGCACGTCGGACGTTCTCCTGCTCTATGTGTCAGCTGAGTTATTCACGCGAAAGATGGCTGTGCTGAAACCAAGCTGATGTTTTGCATACTTTCGCCAAGCATTGCGACGGGCTTCGCACAGCCTCCGGCATTTGCTGATTGGTTGAGATCTGACGCATGCGCAATCAGCTGCTGTTCATATATTGTATTGTCACCGCAAAGAAGCACAGACGGTAGCGTATGTTTACAGAACACGTGTTCCAGGTAATGTGTGAATCACTGCTGTGTTGGGGCATTTCTAAGTTACTGCGTCGTAGCTAAAGGTCACAAAAATACTTACATACCTGCTGTTGAAACATATCATTCGAGGTTACGTTTTCAACCACCATGGCGATTCACTCGGAAAAACGATGAATGAATCTTTTTTTTTTTTAGTTTTACTGAGTGCAAGTTATGTCTTGAGTGCTATACGATGCTGTACGTGTGGAAAAACCACGAGAACCAGTATTAACACCCCCGTCACACAGGGAGAACTAAAGTTAGTACGCTTCGCCTCTAGTGTCCTTTACCCGCTGTAGCACTGGAACGCATAGTGACACTCGTTGCAAAGCGCACTTGCAAGCGAGTGTGTTCTCATGCATCAGAATGTATAGTACCCCTACAAAAACTACTTTGGTATTCTTGCTGCTTGACAGTTCACAGTCACGGCCACCAGGCGCATGTCCAGCACACACCATGCAATGGCCGCAGCAACTGAGTTTGTGCGTAAATTTCAAGGGCTGCTTAGCTCTCTCACAATATTACTTAAGGATCGTCACCTGAAACAAATATCCAGTGATTTTCAAATCATCCAGCGAATACTCAAGTGACCATCACCATTACCATCATTTTTTTAGGGTTGTATTCAGATTTATTTATTTATCTTGGACGATGCGAAGTATCGTCCAAGATACATATACGTGGTGCGTATTATAAAACCTCGCAGCTCTTATTTTTACACATTCGTACCGTTCCTGCTTCAGCTGCCTTCAACAGCATACTTCCCTTTCTCCAGTAGCAGCACACCACCAAACTGTCACTCTGGAGGCGTAAGTGCACACGCTCGAAATGGAAATTCGCCAGTGTGACCAGGATATTAGATTCAGCAAAAGCATGCTTCATGGCTGCAGCTAAACTCTGAATGCTGATTCTATTGCATGCGACACATTCAAGATGATAACCTCTGAAACATCGTATTGTTACAGCACACGATGAGTTGGGTAACTTTGGTAAATTATGTGTGAAATTGCTTTAAGGGCGTTTCACTTCCGTTGCCTTCACATCTTTTCGAACGAAACTCGCCTTCTTTCTTCAACAGCAACTGTCCATAAGTGTTGTGATCGCTCTTGCCACGGTGACGTAACCTCACCTGCGTGTGTTCAGGATCAGCTGTACGCAAGTGTACCAAAAAAGTAAAAACCTGGAGGCCCCGCCAACCATGTCCACACTGTTTCTTTCTTCTGCAACATGAGTAATGTTGTGCAGCGTTGTTTTTACGCGCAAGCCACTCTCTTTCCTTTTTGACGTAAATTTCTGGTTGACGCTTGCATGTCTTCACTATTTCATTTCATTTCATTTATTGATACTGTCAGCCCTTTGCGCGCTATTACAGGAGTGGAGTTGATGCATATAAAACAGAAATGTGCATAAGAGAAACATAAGAAAAAGAACCTTCACTACTGGAACAAATCATTTCAGAGCACATACAACACATATATCATAATGGCTAAGCATATAGTTTACAGAGAAGTTAGTGAAAAATAAGAAAAGAGAGCATCACTGCCGAAATACACATCATATTTTGCGCATACTAAAACACATAATAAATATCATAGCCTAGTTAAAAAGCACGCAATTCACACATATTCACAATCTTAGCGCATGGTATCAGAGTGCACTATATGTTTTATTGCTTCTAAAAAGTCAGTAAGCGATTTGATTTTCCCAACCGAATCTGGTAACGAATTTTACTGCTGAATCGCCCTGGGGAAGAAGCTGTACCTGAAACAGTCACTTTCTCTCACAGCGATGTGGACTTAGACGTAAAGTGACACAGCTGTCGTAAACATATTATAGTTTATCAACACAACGCACACAAATATTTCATTTGCGGCCATTCTCTTCTTAATGGTGACTTCAAATTATAATATCACGAGTGAGTCATACTGCGAACACTGCATCGTGTTATATTCATGATCTATTAGAGCCTACAGATCTATATTGTGCAAGTTTAAAATGTTCTAACGAGCGAATCTGCCTCACTATCGCGCATGAGAGTAGCAGAAGCAGAAAATTATGGTGTCTTACAGTGCTGAGCGCAAAGTCTGTAGGCTGTGTTTTCTGCAGAAGTGCTGGCATGCGAAGAAAATGACCTTGCACAATATCTGACACGCGCTTCAAGAATTAGCAAGAGGGCAAAAAAATTTGCACAGCCATATTGTCCACGCCACTTGTGTATTGCGCACCTTCGATACCACGAACCCAACCATTCCATCGATAAAGAAGAGCAGCAATTATTCCTCAAATATTCGTATAGAGCAGTACGGTAGTTATTTTTTTATACTAACGAATGGACATCCATGGACACGCACGAAGTGAGCGCATTTCACACACTATGCAAAAATTATATAACACTTTAGCAGCAAAATGCAGACCAACACGACCATCAAAAAGTAGAGATGAGGCTCTATAGGGAAGATTGTGCACCTTTTCTTCTCAGTCTGAGTTTAAAACCTGGCCAATTTTAAGTGTTACCTTGGTGTACTGACTGCCTCCGTTAGTACCAGCGAGACCACATGTCATTAATTACACTATATCAGTATATTTCTAGAGGTTAGTGTGTCGCAGTCAAAGTCGGACTCCAAGTAACAACTGGGCACTGCGACATAAGCTGCATATAAACAATCACAGGTAAGATACGTTCACCTCAACTCTGTTTTGATGTGACTGACACTGGATGTCTCTAGACAGTGTGAAAGCCCAAAGCTAAACAACCAACAAATTATGTTGCATAAAATTACAACGAGCCCTGTGAGGTGTCAATAAAGAACCCTGTAAAACACGCCTTTGACGACTCATGAGTGCAGCGTGTCTGGCGTTATGTCGTGCATAATGACATGAAGCGGTCTTAGGGGGAAACGTGTTGGATAAATTTTAGTCCCAGACTCTACATAAGTAATTGCAGCCGCGAACCAGGGGGTATAAACAGAAGAGCGTCTTTTTTTTTTCAGAGCTGCTCGAATAAGGCATCGTTGCGGGATATGCAGGATTGTCGTTTGTGGCTACTTCGTGACAAATCGGCCACTGCATTTCATTGTCTGTCGGCAAAAACTTCAGATTGAATTTGTGGCTACTTTTGGCTACGTTGAACTTATATTTCAGCGAATTTGTCGACCAGTTTTTTTTTTTTTGCGATTTGCCGATGAAATAACGCATTATAGCCTAAATACTAGAAACATATACCGAAAGGAGTGCTAGTTGTACATGAAGGCTACCTATTGTTTTTCAGCATGTCAGTCATGTCAGTCGATGCGTGCGTTTCTTCCACCCGACAGCATGTTGTGCATAGAGAAAGTTTAGCACAACATGCGGCGCGCATGCTAATTATAATTAAGTCGCTCGCATTTTCGCAAATGCGCAGCACACTGCTCATGCTTTCCGCCATTTATGCTCACGCTGCGGCCAGGTTTCTAATGCAGATACAGAACGCGTGCAATTAGGTCAAGCTATAGCTGCTTCAAAGTTTAATGTTCCTGCTGACTTTATGACTGGAGTATTTCAAGTATACTCAGTCTTTGGTAATAACACTAACCATTCTACGCAATTCATATCAAAGGCGCACTGAACTTAAAACAATTATCCAAAATATTAATATTTATTGTTCAGTAGTGAGAACTCCGTGAACGGAGTTCTAACTACTGCTGTACGTAGTTGGCAACAAATACGGCGATAAAAATAAATAGCATGACTACTTTTGGTTGCATGTATATTTAGCCTATCTGCAACCCTGACGGGTTGTTTGTGGCTCGATTCACGCTTCTGGACAACCACCGACAAATAGGACACCGTCCGCTGACCAGAAGTACATGCGCTTTCACCATTCTTGCAATGTGGCCCGTCCTAAGTTTGCTGACATTGGCCGCGAGATCGAGCCGAGTCGCCGGCTGGCGGCAACTGGCCGGAATGGTGAAGTGCGGAATGCTCCTTGCGTCGTCTGCTAGCCACGTCGTGTTTCTATGTGCGAGTACGTCATGTACGTTCTCAAAGTGTGGTTGTTCCGGTCATGTCAGCACGAGTGAGACTGTTTTTACGTATTCCTGAAATGACGTACGAAAGCAGTTGGTCTTTCTGGGCTGCTAATGCTTATTATTAAGATCGGCGAGTGCAACTTTCCAGAGTGCTGTGTATTGTCGTCGTACACTTCATTCACCAGAATAATTTAAGAGAAGGCGCTGCCTTCTGTTTCTAGCACATCGCAAAATGCTCTTGCCATCCTTCCAAACATGAGGACTATTAAATGCTCGTAGCGTCATGAATAAACTTGAACACTTGGAGAGTATTGTAATGACCCATCGCCCTCACATCCTGATAATCACCGAAACGTGGTTAAATTATGATATAAGCGATGAAGAAGTTACACCACCTGGCTACAAGATTTATCGAAAAGATAGAGACACGCGTGGTGGTGGCGTTGCTATTATGGTAAAACAGTCATTGCAAGTGATAAGGCAAACCGATATACCGGGCGTTGAATGTGTTATTATCAAACTCTATTTACACGACCTAAATTTGTCTGTAGGCGCATTCTATCGCCCCCCAAATAGTGATCACACATTCTTCGAAAAGCTGAATGAATTCCTGTGTTCTAGCAGATGTGACACAAGCAATGTGTTGATAGCTGGAGACTTTAATGTTCCGTCCATCGACTGGTCCGGTGATTTTCCGCAGCCACTCGTCTGTGCGGCGGAACCCATTGTGGACCTTATGCTCTTTCATAATTTAACGCAATTAGTCAAACAACCCACGCGCATTCAGAAAGACAAGAGCTCACTCTT